TGCCATTTCTCAAAGATATCCATAAAAAGTCTCGTTTAAAGTTTGCCACAAGCCACCTGGGAGACATACCAAACCAAAAAGAAGGTGCTCTGGTCAGATGAAACCAAAATTGAACTTTTTGGCCACAATGCAAAACGATATGTTTGGTGTAAAAGCAACACAGCTCATCACCCTGAACACACCATCCCCACTGTCAAACATGGTGGTGGCAGCATCATGGTTTGGGCCTGCTTTTCTTCAGCAGGGACAGGGAAGATGGCTAAAATTGATGGGAAGATGGATGGAGCCAAATACAGGACCATTCTGGAAGAAAACCTGTTGGAGTCTGCAAAAGACCTGAGACTGGGACAGAGATTTATCTTCCAACAGGACAATGATCCAAAACATAAAGCCAAATCTACAATGGAATGGTTCACAAATAGACGTATCCAGGTGTTAGAATGGCCAAGTCAAAGTCCAGACCTGAATCCAATCGAGAATCTGTGGAAAGAGCTGAAGACTGCTGTTCACAAACGCTCTCCATCCAACCTCACTGAGCTCGAGCTGTTTTGCAAGGAAGAATGGGCAAGAATTCCAGTCTCTCGATGTGCAAAACTGATAGTCGCTTGGGATATGTCTCTTGCAGCTGTAATTGTAGCAAAAGGTGGCGCTACAAAGTCTTAGCGCAAGGGGGCCGAATAATATTGCACGCCCCACTTTTCAGTTTATTTGTTAAAAAAGTTTAAATAATCCAATAAATTTCGTTCCACTTCACGATTGTGTCCCACTTGTTGATTGACAAAAAAAAATATTTGTATACCTTTATGTTTGAAGCCTGAAATGTGGCGAAATGTTGAAAAGGTTCAAGGGGGCCGAATACTTTCGCAAGGCACTGTACGTAACCACAGTTTGTGGTACACTTGCGCGTTCCCCGAATGTTGCAATCCCACAACCAACCCACGTGATGGCGAACTCACAGGAGATGCCTAACCAAAGCGGTCCCATTTGTGCTGCTATACTTTCTCCTCTTCAGAACAAAAAAAAAAGCCGAGCTGTTTGAGATCATTATATGTGTTTCTACTGTAGGTTTATGTGATAGTTCTATGGACTCATCGTTTCAACTCATTTAACTGTGATGCTGTGAATAAAGATACAGTTCTTGTAGGAAACATAGTTATTATTAAAGTGTATTCAGCACAAACAGCAAAAACAATAAGTGGTAAATATCTGAGACAAATATGAACTATTTAAAAGTACAGGAGGAATGCAACAGACGCGATAAGCTGCGATTCAAACAAAGACAGGAACAGTGCAAAAAAACGAATGCACAGTTTATAAGTTATATATATGTTAGATATTAGGGCTGGGCGATATGGCTGAAAACTATATCACAATATAAGTAATTCATATCGGTCGATAACAATACAGTGGGGAGAACAAGTATTTGATACATTTTTCAGATTTTCCCACTTGCAAAGCATGTAGAAGTCTAATTTCTATCATAGGTACTCTTCAACTGTGAGTGGTGGAATATAAAACAAAAATCCAGAAAATCACAATAGATGATTTTTGAATAATTAATTTCCATTTTATTGCATGAAATAAGTATTTGATACATCAGAAAAACAGAACTTAATATTTGGTGCTGAAACCTTTGTTTGCAATTACAGAGATCAGACGTTTCCTGTAGTTCTTGACCAGGTTTGCACACACTGCAGTAGGGATTTTGGCCCACTCCTCCAAACAGATCTCCTCTAGAGCCTTCAGGTTTCAAGGCTGTCGCTGGGCCACACGGACTTTAAGCTCCCTCCAAAGATTTTCAATTGGATTCAGGTCTGGAGACTGGCTAGGCCACTCCAGGACCTTGAGATGTTTCTTACGGAGCCTTGCCCTGGCTGTGTGTTTTGGGTCGTTGTCATGCTGGAAGACCCAGCCATGACCCATCTTCAGTGCTCTTACTGAGGGGAGGAGGTTGTTGGCCAAGATCTCACGATACATGGCCCCATCCATCCTTCCTCAACACGGTGCAGTCGCCCTGTCCCCGTTGCAGAAAAGCATCCCCAAAGAATGATGTTTCCACCGCCATGCTTCACGGTTGGGATGGTGTTCTTGGGGTTGTACTCATCATTCTTTTTCTTCCAAACACGACGAGTGGAGTTTAAACCAAAAAGTTCTATTTTTGTCTCATCAAACCACATGACCTTCTCCCATTCCTCCTCTGGATCATCCAGATGGTCATTTGCAAATTTCAGACCCTTGCTCATGCTTTGGCTTGAGCAAGGGCACCTTGCGTGCACTGCAGGATTTTAATCCTTGACGGCGTAGTGAGTTACTGATGGTTTTCTTTGAGACTGTGGTCCCAGCTCTTTTCAGGTCATTGACCAGGTCCTGCCGTGTAGTTCTGGGCTCATTTCTCACCTTTCTCATGATCATTGATGCCCCACGAGGTGAGATCTTGCATGGCGCCCCAGACCGAGGGAGATTGACCGTTGTCTTAAATTTCTTCCATTTTCTAAAAATTGCATCAACAGTTGTTGCCTTCTCACCAAGCTGCTTGCCTTTTGTCCGGTAGCCCATTCCAGCATTGTGCAGGTCTACAATTTTATCTCTGACCTCCTTACACAGCTCTCTGGTCTTGGCCATAGTGGATTTTGGAGTCTGACTTATTGAGAGTGTGAACAGGCGTCTTTTATACAGATAACAAGTTCAAACAGGTGCCATTAATACAGGTAATGAGTGGAGAACAGGGAGGCTTCTTAAAGAAGAAGTAGCAGGTCTGTGAGGGCCAAACTTCTTACTGGTTGGTAGATGATCAAATACTTATTTCATGCAATAAAATACAAATTAATTATTTACAAATCATCTAGTGTGATTTTCTGGATTTTTGTTTTATATTCCATCACTCACAGTTGAAGAGTACCCATGATAGAAATTACATACTTCTACATGCTTTGCAAGTGGATAAAACTGAAAAATCAGCAGTGTATCAAATACTTGTTCTCCCCACTGTATATGGATTGTTTTTTTTGTTTTTTTTTTACGTAAATAAATACATTTGTCATGTCGGCTAACACATGTTAGCAGCCTTGATTACAGTCACGGGGGAATGAGGCTGGAGTCAAATGTTCACAAGCAGTCTGTCCTGGTTTTGTCCTGGTTTTGTCCTGGTTTTGTCCTGGTTTTGTCCTGGTTTTGTCCTGGTTTTGTCCTGGTTTTGTCCTGGTTTTGTCCTGGTTCTGTCCTGGTTCTGTCCTGGTTCTGTCCTGGTTCTGTCCTGGTTCTGTCCTGGTTCTGTCCTGGTTCTGTCCTGGTTCTGTCCTGGTTCTGTCCTGGTTCTGTCCTGGTTTTGTCCTGGTTTTGTCCTGGTTTTGTCCTGGTTTTGTCCTGGTTTTGTCCTGGTTTTGTCCTGGTTTTGTCCCTGGTTTTGTCCCTGGTTTTGTCCCTGGTTTAGTTCCTGGTTTAGTTCCTGGTTTAGTCCTGGTTTAGCTCCTGTTTTGGCTGTTTGAGTGTCTTGTGTCCCCGTGGCGGCTCCGGAAAAAGTTAATCTCTTGTTTTTGCCGAATGCATCGAGTCTCTGTACCCACTGCCTCTCCTGCTCTGCACATGCTGTTCCTCGCACGGACGTGCATAACTATTGACACCTCACTGAAACAAGATCTTTAGATCCATGGCTATTATAATAGATCCATGATCCATGGTGCGGTTGTTTTTTTGCTTTTCCCAGAAAGTTTTGCGGTTTGTAGTCGGCTGTGATAGGTCGAGAAGCCTTTGCCTACATCCCCCAGAATGCCGTGCGCTTCTGACTCGGCTTTACTTCCTGTGTTTTGTTCCTGTTTTTTTCGAACGGACTGAAGTGAAACTATTGACCCTGTTTTCTATTGATATCTAACACGTGTCTATCGGAATATATATCGTTATCGTTTTATCGCCCAGCCCTATTAGATATGCAACAGAACTCTAGTCCACAGTCTCCGCGTATGGGCTCTGTCATGAGCCCAAGCTGTTTTTCCTTTGGTTCCTTCGAAGTGCGAAGCAGTCTGCTCCATGCTTCCTTCTAATAGACACACACACGGACACAGCGGAGCTTCCTTGCGGCGATCCTTACGTAGTTAGAAATTTTCAAGGGTAAGGGCCTTGCGGTGATCCACGCGTTGCGCCGCGCGACTATACACTAGGCTTAACAGTCATGGAAGTCAATGTGATTTTATCAATATCTTAAAGTATTTTTTTTCCTAATTTATTTACTTAAAGTGAACCTGTAAATTGAATCAAAATACAATATATAGAAAATATATCCTTTGATATCCTTCTTAACATGTTCAGCCTGACAGCACACACATATGCACACATACATAATCTGTGGTGGATTACGCTGATCATTTTGCTAATCACGTGTCTGAAACATGGAAAGTGTGCAGAGAGTAGCAGAGGATGTGGACCAGGGCTTGTGTCCTGATGGGATTATTTATGAAAGAGGCTCAGTGTAAAACATGAATATTTCAGATGCAGCTGCACACTTGCAGGCAAATCCAAACTTCTAATTCACAAATGTGAATTATGAACAGGGCGGTGCAACAACTAGTTAATGCACTTTGTCATTATAAAGTAACCTAAAAAAAAAACTAATTTAAAATATCTTCAAATCACTGAGAAAAAAAACAGGGTTTCTGCTTGGCTGGACCAGGTTACATTTTAAATTTAAGAACAATTCTATACTTTCCATTACAGGCAGTAAAAAAATAGGAACTGAACTAGCAAACCGACACATTACAGATGAAGCCAATCAGACTGCACCAGGACAGTTGTGGAATGCAGCTTTCAGTAACAGCCAACATTGCTTTTAACTTATGATAGACATAGAAAAGAGTGTTTCAGTCTTTAATGAAAAACTCTAGCTTTTTGAGCAGCCTTTTTATGCTCCAAACTTCCTCCTTGTACTGCTCCTCCAGATAACATGAAGTATAAAAGTGTGCCATTAGAACGAGACAGGGGCAAGGCATGTGTGCTAGGGCGCTTCTCACCATCATGATCGCAGAGAAGCTTCTGGAGGACAGGCGCCTCAGGTACAGGTACTGGGCCTCTCTGCTCCAACACACCCTGCCCCCAGACCTCCACTGCTCACACGGCTGCTCCCTGCAACGCACCACAAAAACAAGTCTTTCACTCTATATATTAAAAAAAAAAGAAACTTCAAAACAGAATACATGTTTTAACATGTGTTTGAACTAAGACATATACAAATATAAATAGTTACACAAAACATAATACACAGTAGGGGCAGGTCCTGGCTGAAAAATGTCCGTGAGCATGTGCGCTGACATACTTGCATCTCACTCCAGGCCGGTGGGGGTGGATTCGGAAAAAGAATTACCCAATGCTTGTATGGCGTCGTCTTCTGGAAAAGTCGGCTCTTGACCCAACACTACGTTTCAGATGCGTGTCAATGCTGAGGGGAGTATTTTTTGTGGACCAGTCTAGTTTAGCCTCTGATTGCACTTGTTAAAAGTATACAGTGCTGGTTTTACTCCCATCTAGCGTTGGGATCATGTATTGCAGTCATTGGACAATATGTCGTCTTAACAGTTGACCCCAACTCTCAGTCATTCACCCGGGCCAAGGCAAGAATCCTTTAGTTTGATGAACGACCAGATAGCTCCATACGTCTCGGCCACTTGACAGTCGCGTGGAGGCAACATGTAAACAAGACTGCACTCTGAACCGGCACCTGCTGCACAGAGGTTGCACGGAGATTTACTATGGATCTATTATAATTAGGGCAGTCAAAATTATCGCGTTAACGCACGTTAATTCGATTTTTCATTAAATCGCCAAAAAATAAAAATTAAAGCGTTTAACGGATGTCCGAATGACCCGCCCATGTATCCTATAATATCACTCAGAATGCCGCGGACACCTGCATATGTGAGATGGCCACAGAGCAGGTAGGCCCTCTGGGAATTCAAGTTTTAAAAGAATACGCGTGTGACCGCGCTGCACTTTCTGTTGTTTGCTGTATGAACTGAGGTCTGCATCCTCCGTGGCCGCAGCGTTCTGACCCGGGGCAGCTGCGGCCGCTCTGGACAGTGGTTCCCACCTCCAGCCGCTAACAACAACACGGCGAATGGCGCCGCGGTAACGTGATCCAAGATCATACACGCACAGAACTATTCTCTGCATGTTGTGTGCATGTCTTTACGTGACCTGTGCACGCAAATACACCACTGAAGCTGAACTATGGAGCCTCAGGAAGTGTCCGGGTCTCCTCCTGAAAGGCTTCTAAACTTGCTAAATTAAAGCTGGGGTACGTAAATTTTCCTCTTGCATTAACAGCTCATGTTGGTTGTGCCCAAAAGTAAAAGGTTGTGAGCCAATCAAACAGATTTAATTACATTTGGTATGAATGTGTCATTATAAATTGATAATCTCATTTAACTTCAATTGGAGTGGATTTGAAAGAGAATGTTAAAAATGTGACTAATCGTGAGTTAACTCATCATTACTATGCAATTAATTAATTCAAAAAGTTTAATTGTCTGACAGCCCTAAATATAATGTATAGTTTTACAAACGCTGTGTAAAGAGAAGTGTGGAGGAACAACGTGTCAGTGGCAGCTTCAAACCACAATGATCAGAGAGGCAGGACATATACACAGCCGCGGCATGAGATGGCTAAATAGCTTTAGGTAATCACCAGGTAAGGAAACAGAATATTCAAACTACATTGTGTAGTTTGACTGCTGAGTACAAACTACACAATGTGCTTCCAGTTGTGTTAACTCCTTTCGGCGCGTGTGTTTTCGATGCTGACAGTTTGCTGCTATGACGTTTGTTTTCTAGATTGCATAATTATTTTTCTATAACATTGTTGTTTGGGTCGTTCTTTTACATAACCCTTTTTCAAACTTGTGATCACAACGATCGAACCAACGATATTAGTAGCACCTGTGAAACTAAATCTTTTATGTACATTATCAACCTATGTATTTCAAGATGGTGCATCGACAAGGAGCTTCCTCAGCTCTCATGTACATTTATAATTCAAATTCTCAGTCTTTAACAACAATTTAAAAACACAGTGAAGAAAGATATTCTTTAAAAAAGGTCATATTTGTTATTGATTCTTCAATCACAAATATTTTTGGCACACATTTTTAGATCAGCTTTTTCTAGTATTAAAAAAAAGGGCTCACTGAGAAGATCAAACCCAATCCTGATGTCGCAGCAGGACCAATACATGCCACAACACAGTTGTATTATGCGTTTCTCCATTCAGCTAGTCTCTCAAGCAGGAGTTAGATTTAAAAGTAAGTCTTCATTGAAGGTGTAATCACTGATCAACTTCTGACGTTTTGGAGAGGGTTAGGGTTTCCTCCAGGTCTGGCCTTGAGTCCGTGTGTCTGTGTGTGTGTGTGTGTGTGTGTGTGTGTCAGAAGGCGCACGGTGGAGTGAGTGTGCTCGTAGAAATTGGACAAAAGGGAAACAGTCTTATACTATTTTATTAATGTTGTCTAACAGGCGTATTCTTGGGGGGGGGGAATCGAAATATTCACCCCCCTGGCACATCGCATGCACCTTGTATGTTTTTTTTGTCTTACTTTATGATGATTGTTAAGGCAGCCCTGAGTCACTGTCCATCAAGGTAGAGATACCCCTCATTCCAATTAGAAGATTGTTTGCATTATAACTATGCCCTTCTGTCATTCACCACCTTTGGCCAAGTGAACATAGTGGAGGCAGATGTACAGGTCTGAACAGGAGGCTCCGGGCCTGATCAGGCCTGCTCCACAACTCAACATGAACAAAAACTTGATAAGTACTTTACATTTGTGCCTGAACTAACCAGAAAGTAGAATCACATTAGTCCAGTCCTCAGGTCTTTGCACTGGCTTCCTGTGGCTCAGAGAATAGACTTTAAAGTGGTTCTCACCCCCGCTCCTCGGAGCTTACGTCAATCACATTTCCTGTTCAAATCTTCCTCTAAATGGGCGTAGCCTGGAGGACTAAAGGGGGCGTGAACGAGACTGGGCAGTTTACATTGCTCTGGGCGGGGGGCTGCTGACGTCAGGTCTTGCTTCAGACGTCAGGTCTTGCTGCCGCGCCAGTGTTGGCGCCAGATTCAAAATTCAAATGTAGTAATACAGGTCGCCAGCAGATGGCGCCTCACAGACGGTTTTAGGCAGAAAGTTTAACTTTCAACTAATTTGCACCAAAGTGACAAAATTATGACCAGGATATGTAGACAACACTATTGGACACTCATTTATACTGTTTATCAGCAAAAAAAAGTGGATTTGAGGGTGAGTTGTCCTTTAAAGCAGCTCTGCTTGTGCACGAGTCTCTCCATGGACTCGCACCAAAGTGACATGTCAGAGCCATTTGAACCAACTCAAAGACAGGACTAAGTATGGGGAGCAGAATTTATGATCTATGCAGCTAAAATCAGGAAAAGTCATTCTGAAACTGTGAGACATGCTTCAGATGTTCAAATCCAGGTTAAAAACAGAAAACAACAACTGAAGCATTCGTTCTATCTTAACTTTTTTTAATATACTGTGATTATTTAGGTCTTGATTTTGTTAAGCATCGAGTTGCCTTATGTATAAACTGTGCTCAAGTAAACTTGCCTTACCTCAATTCATAAAACTAAACTCAGCAAACTCAAAATCCATTTTAAGTGGAATTGGGGACAATAACATTATTCAAAATACTTCCGACAGACGTACAAGCATGATAAACTTTGTCACCATAGAAACAAGAAAGTGAAGTACTAATACAATAAAATGGTTTAAGTTGATGTAAAAACACTATACAATACCAATAAAAAAGGTATAATTATGCACAGCAGTTTTCTCATAGGACTTCACAAAATAGTTGATTTGCCAATAGCATGATAAAATCAAAACTGAAATCACTTTTTCCTATTTGATTTGTATCACTACAAGAGGATAAACTGTCAGTTACAATAAATTATTGTGGGGTAGTTTGGTCAACAATGCAATTGTTGCATCAAACCGTTGTGGTGACAAGGACAAGATCATTCAAATACATAAAGAGCACATGAGATTTATGGCTGGGAGCAAGAGAGGGGTCACAGTCACACAGGAAGAGCTCAGAGTAGATTGTCCACATCAAGGAGCCAGCTGAGGTGGCCCAGGCCATCTGTTTGGGATCCAAGCATGTCTTACCGGGCGGAGACCCCCGGGAAGACCCAGGACACGCCGTAGGGACTGTTTCTGGCCTGGGAATTCCCCCAGATCAGCTGGAGAAAGTGTGTGCGGAAGTCTGCCTCTCTGCTCAGAATACTGCCTCCACTACCAAACGCAGATTAAATGAAAGAATGTGTATGAGTGGATGATAAATATACTGACAATGATGAAAGTTTTACAGACGCATCAGATTGTGACATGGTGTACCTATTTTGCGATTCTATTGCATGACAATAAATGAATGCACAACTTGATACTCCTGTAGTTTAGAATTCTAAAAAACAACACTTAAAAGAGTTATTACCCTTTTGCTGCAACAGCAGAATGCAATGGTTTAGACAAAATTTGCAAATCTTATTGCATAAGGAATTCACCAGTCAATCAGAGAGTCGAGTAAAAAGCTCACCGATTTATCATCTATCTCGAATGTATGTAAAACGAATATGCAACAAAACCAATGTCAGCACCTTTTCAGAAATGTGTTTACAAAACAGATTTTACATCAAACTTCAAAAGAGATGGATAACTACTAAAATCAACAAATTATTTGAATAAAAAGATTTAAGAAAATTTAGGTAATTGTATTAAGTCTGGTCTTTTTTAGAAAGTGTCCTAGATCCAGAAGCAACTCTGCTACTTTGGCAACTAATTGGATTAAACCTTTTGCAACTTCTTCAGCCAACTTGTTTCAGACTCTTGTGTTTTCCAATATAAATCCTTGTTGCTTAAATGCTTTGATTAATTGTCAAAGCAACAAAGGACAGTCCTCGTATCCAGACACAAGTGATCTTAAAACTGTACTGACCCAAGTAGCACTGAGGAACACAAACTTGAACTCAAAAACCAACATGGGGCTGTTAAATCATTGATTTTAAATGTGGTGGATTTTAGACATAACCAAATTGCACACTTGTAACAGTATTCTTCTTATAAAACATACATTGTCTAATCGTGATGCTCGTCAGGAAAAAAAAAAAATGCACACACAAATTAGACGTTTTGTCAAAAATCGCTCAGCCCAGTGTGTCCAGCGCCTTGCTTGGCTTCACTCACCCTGGGGGTCTCCACAGCTTGCGTCCAGGGGGCAGCAGCTCACGCTTGTTTAGGGGTACAATCCCCATGGCCGCCTGCATTATTGTGATGAACTTCTTGAACTTCATCTTGGCCTGAGCGCGCCGGGCTTCTCCATGGCGGCTCCTCGTGTGGTGTGGAGAGGGGACACAGCCGCTCGTCACACTTGCGCTTACATAACAGCACCGAGCGCGCGCAGACCCCACCCCCGCTGTAATCCCCCCTGAACAAGCGCGCGCGCACACAGCATCAGCCGCACATCAGCCACTTGCACAGTACGATGTCAGACTTTTTGCTCTAGATAGGCAAGACTAAGGAGCGCTCACAAAATATCTTAAGTCTTCAACAGTTAACATGTGCAGAGAAAAGGAGAAAATAGGAGCCAAACGTTTTATTTTATCCAGGCCAATAACGGATGAGCAAGACTGTTTGCAATCTGAACATGTAAATTCAAAAGCAGCTTTACATAGAGCTTAGGCCTCGAATATCAAAATGGTAGACAACTGGTTACGAGTGCCAGCCCTATTCTAAACAAAAACAAGAATATCATTCAGACAATGTTTCAAACACTTTATTTCAAACTGTATGAAAAGTTACAATGCAGTGCAGGCGGCAGAAGAGCCTAGAAAGGCTCTCTTGTGGCATAAAGCTCCAAGCTGTGAGAAGGGCGGAGGGTTATGGCTCTGGCACCCTACTGCTGCTGGGGGGAGATTATGACTGCAACACACACACACACCAGGAGCAGGGATAAGCGCTCCACCAACCACAGTGCGGAACAGGCTTGATATCTCTACAATGTTGACAACATAGAAAAACTAAATACTACAACGTATGAGGACATGGAGGATGTATAGTATTAATGACAGCAGAAATGTGTACCATAATCCAATCCGATACAATGGGTACAGATAGTCCTGAAATGATTTTTGACATTTACTATTCACACTTAATCATCTTGTTATGGCTTTATTACAAGATAATATTTAATCAAATTTGTGTATTTCAAAAATGACCATGGGAAACAATTTCAAAAGTATTTTTAGAGTGCAACATAAAGTACAGGTGCAACTTGAGCGCATTAGTACCATTATGCGTCCAATGGCCAATGCCAAAAGTGAGCTGTGGATTTGATCCAACTCCAATGACACTATTCTAAACCTGTTGTCTTTTCAAGTGGCAGGGCTCTCCCTTACGGGAGACAACAATCCTTCTCCTAGGACTGGTTACTGTCAAAGTACCATCCATCCATCCATCCATTTTCTTCCCTTTAATCCATTTCTGGGTCAGGGGGGTGGCAGTCAGAGATGCCACCCAAGTCTCATAGCACCAGCCCCTCACTGACCCTCTGCAGGTGGTGAGTCCACAGGAGGATGGCTGCTCTCTGACTGTGAGCATAGCCTTGATCTTTCAGTGGGGGCTTTGGGCAAAGTGGGGTTAAGTGTCTTGCCCAAGGACACAACAACAGCAGTCATCAGTGGGAGTCGGTGGAGAAGGTGCAGAGGTGGGAATTGAACCCACGACCTTCTGGCCTTAAGGCCAATGCTCTACCAACTGAGCTACTGTCGCCCCCATGTCAAAGTACCTGCTTTTCTAAAATTAGGCATTGAGGAAAAGAGAAGGAAACCCCAGATTTTGACAATGTTATTCATTTTAGAAAGAAACACACCAATGTGAATACTCCACATGTGGTCTCAAGAATAATCAGGATATAAAAGTGTAAATCTGAGAGTTTCTGCATGATTACAAGTCTAATCCTATTCCAACACCTCCTGCTCACCCCATCACGTCATCTCTGGTTTTCTGTACAAAATGAATGAAACACAGCAATGACTACCAACGTGATCTATGTTTGAAAGAATAATGATCTGCATGGAATCCCCTGCAGATGGAAACAACGATATAAGTAGCACAAAAAAAAAGTTACTTTGTTTCTGGTGTGTCCTGATAAAAGTTTTTTGCTATGGATGCTGGATCTAGAATCTGTAATAACCACAAGATCGGCGAGTTGGTCATAAACATATTCTCTTATTGTATTATGCATGTATACATCAAATTGAAGTCATTTCTACTCAAATAATTTCACATTCAAGAATACAAAATGTCAAGGTTTTGTGAAAATCAAACCATAACCCCACAACCTTTGGATTAGTGACCAGAGACAGGGTTATGAACCGACCAGGAGAACTAAAATAGGTCACGTCACATGTGAGCATCCAAATTCCCTCAATATTTCACTTAAGTTTGAATCCCTTATGTTGGTATAAGTAGTACTTGCATCAGCAGACGTAGCAGTAATGGTATGTTCGGCCTATATTACATAAGTCCAGATGGTGTGACACATGCCAGTCACAGACACGAGTGACACGAGTGCACACGTGTTCCACTGAGCTGATCCATCAATCTCTGTCTCGGAGCTTTGAATTTGGACAGACACAACAAAAATGATCATAAATGAACATTGAAACCTTATTGAATTGAAGGCTTTAAAATGTTGAACTTTTTTAATCTCAAATAGTCATCTAAAATTTTGATTGTGGATACAATTTTAAAAGATCAGCTTCTGTGGTATGTCACAGGATAAATTAAGCTGACTTTATCAGAATCCAATAATAGCCTGATTCTAAACGCGTCCAAGACCAAGAAGATGATAATCGACTTTCACAGGAGCCCTTCCATCAACCGATCACAGTAAATGGACAGGACATAAAAATGGTACAGTCATACAAATACTTAGGAGTCCACCTTGACCACAGACTGGACTGGTCAGCTTATGCCAATGCTGTCTATACGAAAGGTCAGAGCAGACTTTTCTTCCTGAGAAGACCCTCAGTCTTCGTCTTTCGATGTGAGCAGTCAGATGTTGCATATAATTTACCAGTCTGTGGTAGCTGGAGCAATGTTCTTTGGGGTTGCGTGTTGGGGCGGCAGTCTGACCTCAAGAGACAGTAACCGGCTTGACAGGCTGATCAGGAAATAAGTCTCTGTGATAGGGAGAAGTGTGGGCTCTGTGGGAGCTGTGCTGGAGAGAAGGATGAGGGCTCTAATGCAGGGCATCCTGGGTAACTCCAGACGCCCTCTGCATGACGCTATGGCCGCTCAGAATAGTAATCATATCAACAGGCTCCTATCACTACGCTGCTGAACAGAACAGCTGTCAGACTGTACAACAGACCTGTATGAGTTTTCTGCTGCTGGACACCTGAATTTCTCCTACGGGGGTATCAATAAAGTATTTATCTATAAACTAGGGTTTGATAGTAAAAAGCTTGCAGGGTTTTATTTTCTCTTTTTGGAACAAGTTAAGGCGTCCGCACTCAACAGTACTTTCCATATAAATTGGAAATCTAAATCGTAATAAATGTGTGTCTATTGTATGTCAAGCTCTGCTACTTGTACAGTGGTTACCTTTTGATTAGGTATACTTAATTGTATACTTTATTGTCTGCGTTGGATCTGGTCTGTTTTGGAGAGAATCTCTGGCAGATTCTCCTCTTATTCAAGTCCAAGAGCAGGACTCTGCAGCCACTGAAGAAGGACCAGGACGCGCCCTCGGGGGAAGGCGAAGGAGGACAATAATGAAAATGATTACACAGTTCTATATCAACACAGGACAACAGTGGAAAAGATTGCTGTGTTGCTTGAACTGCATTGGCTTGTCATTGTAAGGAATAACACATTCTTTTATGCGCTTGGGGCAGTATGACAAAATTCTGGCCACTAGCATGTGCCACTTGCCCCTCCGACCACCCACCCACCCAAACACTGTGGTGAGTGCCGTTCCGAGAGATCTCCCACAGCACAAACCAGATCCTGCCCTGCTTAGCCTCAGAGATGGTGATCTTGAGATCTTGTAAATGTAAAATATTTTTTAAATTATTTCTCAAAAATGAGGGAACAAAAATAAACCAGATAAAAAATTGGGATGTTAAAACTGAAAACATTTAGATGATTTTTACAATTTTAATAATCAGCTACATTATTTAGGTACAGACCATTGTCACTCAAAAAGTAACCAGCTTTAATCTATATGATTTCCCTAAACAAGCGCACAATGGTGTGTCCATTATGCACAAAACCCTGTGGCCCAGGCAGGCACCAGCACCTGCCATCAGGCAGAGAGGTCGGGTTACACCTCCACCTCGGCGTAATTAAATAAATAAAACACTCAATGCCATTGCCATACCTGCCCAAAATGCGGTAAAAACACTAGTAATCGTCCAAAAGCTTTTGGAATCTATCGCCATTTTGCAATAATCATTGAGCAAACGTGACAAAGGCAAGGCCAGCGACTTACCGAGTGAAACGTCGTCCGTAGGCACTTCTTTCTCCCACCAAAAGTTAAACTAAAGTATGTTGTGATGTGGAATACGTGCGCGTAAACATGGAGAAACGAGCGGCTTCGTAGTAGTGTCCCGGGGAAGGTAATAACCGCGTTTGTTTGATTTGTTTGGCGAAGACGGTAATAAAAAAGACGCTTCTCTACTACAGGTGTGGGCACTTCCGGGTTTCCAGGTATGTGGGCGTGGCCTTGGGTTTCGGTGAAGAGTGACATGGCCTACTTCCTCTGACTCAGGCTGCGTAGTATCTCACATAAATAACCCCTTTGTCCTTACTTATTCTGTTTTGTGACTGTTTGTGTGGCAGGGCAGCTGGAGGCGTGGTCAGTGACATTTAGACGTGTCACTTATAAATAGATAGATTGATAAATTGACCTATCTATCCATCCAAAATTACATGCATGTGAAAACTAGTTACGGAGGCAAAATGTTTTGTATTGGATTAACTTATTCCACGTTTTAAGTTTGCCAATCATAAAACCATAGACTGTACTTAAAACGTGTTGTTTGTTATACAAATCCAGCTTTAAATTTTCACAAGTTCACTGATAATGGAAAAGAGAATCATTTTTAAATAATAATTATACATTTCTTAATTATTGTGTATATTTGCTTTTGTATTTGTATGTGTATTTGGTTTGTGTTTACCATACTGACGAAGTATAACACGCTCTGCTCAATCCTGAAGAAGGATTATATTTCCAGAGATTCATGCAGACATTTGCATCTATGTTTACATGGCACTGTTGACTTCAAATATAAGATTCTAAATTGGAGCAATTATGGTTAGTATACTCTTTCATAGTTTATTATCTAGTATTTACAGCTGTTAAGTATGTTTATCTTGTTTTGAGAACTTTAACCCTATTTTGCTGTCTGTATATTGTTATCTGCAAGACAGGTTTTCTCATGATCTACAAAGTATCTACTGTTTATTTTAACACGTAAGTGTGTCCATGCACGCCTTATTTCATTGGTCATGTGATTCTCCATTGAGGCTATAGTCAGCCTCCTCGTGATATGATGCGGCACAGATTAATCTTTAGTAGAGTTTGAGCAGCACTGCGTGGTCACTGAGAGCATTACATCGCTTGAATGGCTAAGCATAATATATTTATAAAATATTATGTTCCAACCTTACACCCAGAACACCGTATAAATACTATATATTAATGTTGTATTGAATGGTTGAAAGTGCAGAATCTACCATGATATATCATTTTAAATTCAACATCACAGCACTGATGACACATAACAACAGAAAAACAAGGGAAAGCGAGACATTTATCCAAGATAATTTAGTCTTTACTTATACTATAGTATATTAAGAATTCACACAAAGGGAACACATACATTTTGGGGACAACAAGTAGCATTCATCTTATTTTCTAGTATTTCATCTATGCCTAAAATAATTTTGACTGAAAATATGTGCAATAAAAGTTGTTAAATCCTTAAAATATTACATTGTGGAATATACACACTTCTTTTCAAACATTACAATTTTTAACAATAGTGATTTTTACCAAACAATAAGTTATCATTTGTAAGATAAGAGGCTTCTAGAAATTCACACAGAATCAATAATTAACATATTTACAAATACAACTGCAAAAAACAAACGTCACTACATAAGTTACCACAAATTAATCTTTAGCATTTTCTTTAACTCCACTTGAGCAAAAACAAATCAATTATTTCCTAGAAAGACTTCTGCACAAATAAATACACACACATTTTAAACTAATTTTCTTTCTAACCAGCCACCCAGAAGTCATTATCTGTAGTGCTCAGGGATGTGCTGGGACGCCAACACTCTTCTCACTGAAAAAACACACAAATAATAGCATAAAATAGCTATTATAATATATGTGTAATTGATTTTATTATAACAACGCTTCATGATATCCTCCACAACAAAACTATGTTTTACAATTTTGAAATTTCTGAAAGCATTGGCAGAGAAAAAGTTGCGTGGTGTTAGGGTCATTTTTGACTTGGCGAGGTAAAACAGGCTAAACTACACAGAATTCTTATATCATCTGATCCCACTTCCTTCCTCCAACATCAGTATGTGACATCCTCCTCCACAGGATTCAACATTATCTTTCCACCCCCCACTCGTGTGAGAACTCACACAGTAAAATGTAACACTTTGTGAGCAAACAAATCAACTAAACATGACTAGACACCACTTTTGCACACACATACACAGACGACCCCTTGCATCTCAGCAAGAATGTCTTGAGTTCAAACCCTGGACTGAACAGGGTCTTTTCGAGAGGAGTTTGTTCTCCCTGTGCCTGGGTAGGTTTCCTCCAGGTGCTCCAGTTTCCTCTACCACTAAAAACATGCACAATAGGTAAAATCTTATAGCTCCGGTACTGACCAAGCTAAGAAACAACATCTGGAAATGGGTCCTGGGCTTCTGACAGGCGCCCTAGAGGCATCAGGATGGGTCAAATGCAGAGGAGTAATAGGAATTCTATTGTAAGTAGAATGCATATTTACTTTTGCATTGCATGTTCCATGAGGTTCTTGATTACATCCCCATGGAGGAAGAGAGGAAACGACATTATTGTCCTGTAGGAAAATTTGACATCTGCATTTGACCCGTCCTGCAAGTGCTTCTAGGGCCTCTGTCAGGAGAAGTGGTTACAGCGGCCTTTGACCCATCTGCAGATGTTGATTCTCGGCTTGGTCAGGATTACCAGAGCTGGAAGAATTTACCTGTTGTACATGCTTTTAGCGGTATAGGGTAAACAGTAGCACCTGGAGGAAACCTATGCATATACAGGGAGAACGTGAAAACTCACTCAGAAAGGCCCTGTTCTGACCAGGATTTGAACCCAAAACCTTCGGTACTGTGCTGTCACTCAGCCACTGTGCCAGCTGATTAGGCTGAAATAGAGGAAGATGTCTCTGAAGATGATTTTGTGGATGATCCACATCAGGATGATATCTCTTCAAATTCTGATGAAGAAGTGATTGAATGAGCCAGAACAGGGCTTTGTTTCAAAGAATGGAAAGGTCTGGTCCTCAAATGTGTATGAAAATGAAGGCTGAGCAACATCAGCAAACATCATAAAAATGACCTCTTGACCCACTCTATTTGCAGAGTCACATATAAGATATGTGACATTTCCATTAAATCTTTGCTTTGCCTTTTGGCTCAGCATTGACATTTCTAGACTCAATCAATTTTCAGTCAGGACACATTTCTGGTAAAACAACTACATGCTTTTTTATAAATGAGGCCCCAGTCTATCAGGGTTTCTTTGGGGTCTTTTGCCCCTGTTGTAGTGACGATAACAATGATGACTCTCTAAAATGTAGTCTGTTCAACAACAATGAATTGTTCCATATTTTATGATTCACACCTTTACCTGATCGTGATACTTCACCACAAATCCAAAGAGAAATAAATTGCAAGTATATATGATATCTACACTATTTCTTGCCCTTCCCCGACTGAACTAGCCAGATTTGAGAAAGTCTGGTAAGAATGTAGAATCACCAGTGTCTGACCAGGTAGACGTCCAGCTCTTGATCAGATTGACTGCAGCTCATAGAAGCCAGGGGCTCGTCCAGTGCGATGGTGGAACTGGAGTCACGCCGCTCCTCACTGCACATCACAGGCCAGAAACAAAAGAACCAAGATAGGCATCAAAGAAATAACTGACAACTTCTTCATAATACGTTTACAGTTAGATTACAGCAGTGTATTGTCTCCTATTCCTATTGTTACTACCATTTTTATGATGGTCTGAGGCAAATAGGTGTCTTTTGTGTGATTTATTCAAGTCGAGTTATGAAAGACGTACATAAGTATTGTATCAAATAGACATTAAGCTGCGGCAGAAGCTGAAAGCCAGACCAGTCCCTCTGCCCCGATCAAGCAGATTATAGCTTTTAACATCCAGGGAGACATGGGAGGGTTGAGAGGAGAGGAGTGAGAGTTTGGAGAGAGGTGAGAAAAGAGGGGAGAGACGTGAGAGTTTAGGGAAAGAGGAGACACATGAGGGGAGAGGACAGAAGAGAGGGAAGAGTGTGTCTGAATTAAGAAGAACAATCCTCTGTTGGGCCTTTTGACGGACAATTGACCTCTGTATTTTAGATGTTACTAATCTAAAATAAACTAAGGAAAAAATATTTATTTGTATTTAAAAAAAGACATTGAGATTTTTACATTTTTGAGAAATCTTTCAAGACGTATCAACTATTACCCTGTATTATAACGTTGTCAAGAGTCTCATCATGAAAACATAGATGTGATAATGTAAACCTTTTCTCGCAAAATATATTAAAAAAATAGAAGAATTAAAACCCAAATAATCATATGACTTGTCGCAGGACATGTTATGATCTATTCAAGAAGAAAGGTAAAACTATGTTAAGCAATGTTTAGGAGAGATTTGTAGACTGACCTGTCCTCTGGGTCATCCCTGCACTGGAACGTCACAGTGGATCTGAGCACCAGGTCCAGCTGGGGACCAGAACTGGAGACTGAAGCACAGGAAGCATTACATACACATCAGGACCATATTTCTGAGATTGTGAATTAACCTTTTTTCACTTATTGTTTATGGTTGTGAATTAAAGTTTCCATCCCCCAGTTCTCATCAGTATGCCGTTTATAATGACAGCTTAGTCTTTTACGGTGGTTCACAATGAGGTCCTTTATCTTCTGATGGTAAAGCTTCTCATTTTTGCACGTTTGAAATCTCCACAAATAGAAAACAGATTTCATTCCTTTTTTTCCAAATAGGGCCAAAACAATCAAATCTCTGGGTGTGTAAACTTTGAAGCACAGTGTGGCAATGTGTGTACGTGAGTATATTATGTGTGTCTGTGTCCTGCTCACAGTGAGAATCCAGCTGCTCCATGCTCTGGGCCTTCTTCTCACTCCTCTTCTCGTCTCGCAGAGTGGACAGAACCTCATGAGATGCAGAATTGGCCGTGTGCAGAGAGCTCCGCTTCCTCTTTGACGAGGCGCCTTTAAGAGCTGCGGCAACAATACAGGAGTGACAGGGGGAATGGATAATGCTTTGAGCTTACAAAAATGGAAAAATATAATACTCTGGAGTCTAGAGTCTAGTTCGCTTGTCTCAAAGCAGTGTGATGCTATTGCTAGTTTTCAAATGCATGTTGTCACGGTGTAGACTTTTTGATTACTCTGACTTGGTTTTATTTGATATTGGTTCGTTTCAGTGTAACTTCATGTCTGATCAGTTATTTGCCTGTCCCGCCCTCATGTTTTCATTCATTTAATTTTCATTTATTGTCATTTGGTCATTCACAGTTATTCCGGTTTATATCAAAACAAGCACAAAAACATAATTAAGTGCATGACCAGGCACAGGCTGAGGCCAAATCTTATTGTGCCTGCCCTCATCGACTTAAGGGACATACAGTGTTTCACCTGTGTGCCCCTTTAAACCCTGTGCTTTTCTAACCTTGTTGTTGGTCCATCGTGTTTCTGTCCCTGTTTTGTTGTTGTTTGAGTTTAAAGGTCTGTTACATCCCAGATTTTTCTTAGTTTTGAGTTCTGTTTATAAAGCCTTACATTTTTGGCAGTAATGCATTTTCAGTCCTTCTTCTCTTTTCACCACGTGACACATGTACTTGTGTTCTGTCACATCTCAGCGCAAACCATCAGCAGAAAACATCTAAAGCCGGGGAGGGCAATCCTTTTCTCCGGGGGGTTACATTGGGATAGCGTCATATTGAGTGCCAGATCCTTTTTAATGTGGTCCACATTTAATTAAAATTGGCAAAACATATTTCCTATTTTTGTGAAAGTTACTTCAGTGATGAAATTATTGATTTAATAAACAGAAATATTTAATAAAGAGAAGGAGAAGGAAATAGGGAGCTAGTGTTTTCCTTGTGTTTGTGTAAAGTTTGTTTAAAGTAAGTAAGGCTTGTTTATATAGCGCATTTTACAGACCAAGGTCACCCAAAGCGCCTTACAATGTTCCGAGTTCAGATACTGTTCCAATCACTCCACACATGGTGATGACTGAAGTGAGTTGCCTAACACACTGGCGCATCAAAGCCTCTGACCAAACAAGGCAAGGCAAGTTTATTAGTATAGCACAATTTATAAACTGGAAACTGGAGCACACGGAGGAAACCTACGCAGACACAGGGAGAACATGCAAACTTCACTCAGAGATGCCCTGTTCCGACCAGGATTCAAACCTTGGACCTTCTTGCTGAGAAGCGAGAGTGCTATCTACTCAGCCACCGTGCCGCTGCACCACAGCCGCTAAAACACTTCTTTAGCGTCTGTGGCAATTGTCGTTTTTACCTTTTTTACGTCATGAGGTATTTCAGTATTTAAGTAGTATGATATGTAAATGTGTTTCTTCTTTGGCTTAGATTGAACCAAAACTTGACAGATTAATGTGGCTGCATAGAAATGTGAATGGGGCCACATCACACCTGCATTTTTCCCAGTTCTGGTCTGAAGTAAAAGATATTGCTATCTTTGAAATAGAACAACAAAGATATGGGCAGAAGTGTCAGCAGAAGTTGGAGACAGTGTTGTTTAAGTGTAAGCGTAAGAGGGAGGACTCACGCTGGAGCTTCCGGAACACTGTTGAGCCCATGAACTTGAGGAAGCGGTCGGCGTAGAAGCCCGGCCTGTGGACTGACACTGTGTCCTATAGAGGAAAAACACACATCACAAGCTCAGAGGGTCCACAGCCATATTGTTCCATGTCAAATATACACTATCCAGGAAAATCTACAAAATACATATTTCAAAAAATATTGTTGAAGGCTTAGAACAGTTCTATGTTTGAATCGCTGCAATAACTGACTATTCCCATGAAACCAAAACTGACACTCACACGGTCAAAAATAATGTTATCTTTCCACAAAAGAGAGTGGGGCTACTGTGCAAACATGAAGCCATAAGATCACTATGACAAGTTTATGAAGCCAGTTGAAACAATGATATATTTGTAGATGGTAAAGTAGATATTGTACATAGATTTACAAAGATTGACCCTTTATTAAGATTGACATACCCCATCATGCACCAGCGCCTTCCAGGAGTGTTCCACCTTCTTTATCAATCTGAGCATAAAACAAAAGTTATGTTAAGTTGACACATTTTACATTGAATTAAAAGAATGGCGCCCCCTACAAAAGTCAATTTACATTTTACCTGATGTCAAGTGATCATAAATATGGCCATGCCCCTGACAAACTGAAAGTCCATACTTTTGAATTGAAAATGAGAAAAACAAAATAGTTGATTTTCACTCATGTTGTATGTAAATCGGTTCTGCATTGGTCGTTCCCGATGGGGCTCAAAATCGCTTTACCCAAAAAAGCACAGCTTAGCTACAAAGTTTTGATCAATGAAACACTACACAAACAGCAAAACCTAAAAAAATATGTAGATTTTTTTCAAATTTGTGCAGTTTCAAACTAGCTCCCTAGATAATTCTGTTTTGGCATACAAATAAAAAAAAGTCAAAGAGACCAGTGACGTTGCTGGGATGATGACAGAAACTCCCCATTCTGTGTTAGTGGGAAAAAATTTAAATCTATTATATTTACACCTCACACTTTCAGCTACTCCACCTTGGTTATTTCACCAACAGGTTCAAATTAGCTCTACATTATCTAAAAAGAGTATCATAAAACGTTTGCAGCATCATTTTGATCAGTTAAATGGTGTGCTCACGAAGTTCTGTGATTTCTATGTATTCACTTTCCTTAGTTATTCAATAGACACACACTCGCAGATCATATGTATTTCAATTTACAATATTAGTTTTTCTTTCAGAAGAGCTTGTAGGCGCATCAGCACCAACTCCTTTAGGAGATTGTAGTTCATTTAGTAATCCATAAGATTGTTACTTAAATATACAATAACAAATTAATTACTCAATGAATTGTGTCAATGTTTCTTATCGCTAATCTCTTTTAAAGCCTCAGTTAAAAATCTAATGTGATGCATGATATGAGTGCAGTTGTCTTTAGCATGATCAAGAGTTTATTTCCTCTAGACATGAAAAATTGAATGAATAGAAGAAGAAGAGAAGGTCGGAAGAAGCAAAACACTCACTGGTAAATGTGGGACATGCTACTCTGCGGTAATGATTAACACTCTATGGTGGTTTTATCTTCGATGCAATACTTTGGTCTTAACATAGAATTAAAGTAAAGAAAATAATGAGAATTTTTATAGTGTAATGAGTTTGAAAACAGCAGAAGATCCTGATATTATCTGTAGGATCTTCCTACGGCCCTGACGGGAGCGACACTGTGTATTTTGAATGCCTATGATCAGTGATTGTGAGTGTCTTTGATTTTTCCGATGACACATAATGGGGAGTGTTTGCCGTCGCCACGGCAACAAAGTAAAAGCCATGGGTTGGTTTGAGGTTTTGAATCAGGATGGCAAAACAGAATTATGTGAAAAATTTCAAACATTTTGAGAAAACAAAAAATCTGTCTGCTCATGTAAAACTTGACTCAGTCAGACGCCGTCTGTGGACATTGTGTGTGCAAACAGTGGCATTTACTTTGCACAATAGCGCCCCCTACAAATTCAAATCAGGTGACCTAGGCCCAGGAGTTGAACAACCGAGTAAGGTTTTTTGCAAATCAGAATTTGTAAGTGTGCTCCTGTTTACACATACAATCTGTGAGTGTGTCCATACAGTCTCCATTGGATAACATGAGAACTTCACACCTCTCTATGAAAATAACCACAATTTGGGAGTCTGTCACGTGCAGACCGTTTGACAAATTAAAATTCTACGATTACTCATTGGGAAAGCAATAGACCCTAACCCCTGTTGGGGCTCGGGCCTAAATATGATTAAGCTCTCACCTGTATGACTGCAGGATGTCAATGATTCCTAAGAATATGAGCAGGTTTTCGTCTTTGTGTTTGGCAGGAATCCCTCCCAGACTGCAACAAAGAGTATATTGTAATATTAATATATTACATTGACATGAATGTCATTGTTAGCTTTATTTTGAATGAATTACAAACATATTATTCAACAAACAACACGTTTTAGAGGGGTTTGTGAGACCTATAGACGAGGAGTTGGGTTTTGGGGATATTTCTTGGCTGAGGTATTTACTTTGAAATATTGTTCAGTTTAATGTATTGTATTTTGCTTGTGTCTATGTCAAAATCTGATTTTCTAAGTCTTTTCAGAGACACAGAGAAACACACAAACTCCCTTCGATTCTGGCCACACTGATCCCAGTCCACAGACGAGCAGCGAAGAATTCTTTTAACTTTCGAATATAACTAATTATATTACACAATTTTGGAAATGCAATTATAAACAAAATTGCTGTTTTTTTCACCTGGACGACGCCCACCCAGGACATAACATCAGCTAATAAATGAGGCGGCGACTCTCTGAAGGTGGCAAGCTCCGAAACAAGTTGAAAATAATTAGATCTCAGTAGTTGTTGGTCGAACCTACGCAGTAAAAAGGGATCAGCGCCTGCAGACTGGGACAAGTGTGGGTTTTTTAGTGTTCGCCGTATTCTCATGTTTTTTGTAAAAATTCTCACTGGCAGAGTTTGAGTTGTTCACTTTCCAATGGAGCTAAAGCGAGTAAACTTTACAGATATAGGCTTCACCAGCTGCAGCTATGTTCCTATGCTTAACTTCAGCATATGCTTGTTCCACAGACGGCCTCCTTACGTGTCATCGTCGGCCACAGGCTCAGGGTCCTTGACGGTCCCCTGGATGGACTCCAGCGCAGTGGAGTACAGCACCTTCTGCTTACGACTGTCGGGGCGCGCCCCTCTGAGTGGTGGGCGCCTCTCCAGTACATGGATGCCCAAGAGGAGGCTGTAATCCATGATCTTAAAGCTCTCCAGTACCTGGCAACGCACAAGAAATCAGCATCTAATCCTTCTCTCATCTTTCACTGACATTATTTGTTTGCATTATTCATGTAGGGCTAGATATTCTTAGATTTTCTTTCGATACCGATTAATTTTTTCTGTTCACTATCAAGTAATATTATCAGGTAGAGGATAAAAACAGTTCTGTTTAGCTGTGCATACAACTGAGGGATTGTATATTTTATATTTTTATCTTTCTTTTTAATGTACTGTGATTATTTATGATTTTAATGCTTTCTTATTTTTGTTCAGCACTTTGAGTTGCCTTGTGTATGAATTGTGCCATACAAATAAACTTGCCTTGCCTTGCCTTGCATTCTCAAATATAACCTTCTCTGTCAAGACGCACCCCATGCTCGCTTATGCCCTTTGTACTTAATCATAACACATGATTTGTCCACGGTGGTTCTCCCAGCAGAAATAATACATTCTAATCTTCTTGTTCATAAAATTAACTGTACACCCATATACCTGATATAAGTCCTCTGTGAGCAGGTGCTTTGAGTCCACAGGAAAACAAGCTGTTTTTATAACAGTTGGCCAAAATACCAACTCTAAGAAGTCGTATTGCACTGATTTTCATCACATTTTACTACAGTTGTTTATCAAAAGGATAAGGCATCTGCTATACCAAAGGCCGACTTGGAAAAACAACCCTTATGGAATGAAGTATATGAATACAAACTATTGAAGACAGAAACGATCTTGAATGTAGACTCACTAGTGTGGAGTGGTAAGGGCTCAATGAAAAAGGTCGGAAGTACTCTGAGTAAAAGTCTTACTTTATTTTAGTGAGAAGTGACTGATCCTCAATATTTCTCTCTGGTGTGTCTTTTCTTTTCTTTAGTCTTCAATAAATAATACATGAATAAGCATAGCCTTATAAAAATTGTTTATGATGTTATGTTCAGTCCTTGACCCATAGAAAACCTATGAAATATAGACTGGACCCAAAAGTGCAGTGTTTGGTGTCATTACCACAGAGCCCCATAAACTTTGCACTGAAAGAGTATTATGTGGCTCTTGTTGTAATTGGAGCCTCATTTTGAGCTGTGCCCACAACATATTAAACCTGATTGTTTATCGTTGTGCCCTAAGTGTTAATCCGGTGAGCTGGCGGTTATGAGACACAAAGACTCCCTCTGTGGCCCTTTATGCAACCAGAGCATTGTGTAACAGGATTGAGCACTAATTACCTAAACAAGATACATTTCAGCTATATTAACAACACACTGCACTTTGCTTTTGTGACTCACACAATGTGACCATCATTGTATTATTTATGAAACAAAGGAGTCTTGAAACACTTTTTCTACTTTTTAAATGAAAAAATAAGGTGTTTGAGTGTAAAGTCTTGATGCATATGTTCTGTGTCCTAGTGTTTGTTTATGTTGTTTATGAGGTGTACATTAAGTATGTTATGTGCATGTACTGTATGTCCGGAATGTTCCTGCAGCTGCGTTTTACAGTAATGCGATTAACAGGACTAAATCACATATTTGAGTGTGCATTATGAGAAAAACTGTCTGTCATGCTGACGTAATCAGATTTCATGAGGTAACGGTCCAGAGTCTGACCTTAAGCCCAGTGAAAAAATAGAGCCAAAAATTGGACATCAATATTCTCCATTCATTGATAAAGTTTCTACCAGTGGCCCATAACATTTACAATGCCTTAAAAATTTCAAATAACTCAGTCCCCTGAACTAGGTCTTTAATAAATTGTGTTCAAAGTTAGGACCATATGAATCAGAATATGTTTTGACATATTATGGATAGCTGTATACAATGTATTCACACAATGGGATGATTGGACGGTTTTTTTTGTTTTGTTTTGTTTTTTTTATTTTTTTTTGTACAAATCAAATCAATCAGTAGCTCAGTTGGTAGAGCATTGGCCTTTAGGCCTGAAGGCCGTGGGTTCGAGCCCACCATAAGACCTACTTCATGACTCCCACTGATGTCTGCTGTTGTTGTGTCCTTGGGCAAGATACTTAAACCCACTTTGCCTGAAGCCCCCACAGAAAGATCAAGGCTCCTGTGGACTGAGGGGCTGGTGCTATGTGTACTGGGTGGCATCTCTGACTGCCACCCCCTGGCCCAGAAATGGATTAAGGGGAAGAAAATGGATGGATGGAAGGATGCACCAATCAAAGTGCACTTGCTTGACTCAACTATGAGTTTTATTGAAAGCGTAACACTTTGACTGTAGATATTATTTAATATCCGTGTGATTGTAGATATACAAATTGGGACATAAAGGCAGCCCTACTCAATAACTGAAATTGCTGAAATTGAATTACAACCACCTTATTTCTTATTTCTATTTTTTCCACCCTAGAATGTAGGATTGTTTTTGGATCTATATAAATCTTTCAAGTGTCTAATCAAAGCAACAGTTTTGTTCACATTGAGAGTGCTGTGTTATGGGTCACTAAAACAAATGTATACTTAGGGCCCGGTGTGTGTCACTGACCCGACAGTCCCGCTGCAGTGTCTTCATCAGGGCCTGGTAGTTGTCTGGTTGCAGGTGGAGTCCTTCATGGATGTCCCTGAAGTCCAGATCTTTAAAGGTGGGTGAGGCCTTGGCACTCTCCTTGCGGCTGGCCCGGCGCTTGTAGGAGGATCCCTTTAGGTCGTACTTGTAGTGCATGTGGAGAGCGCGGGGGAGCACATTGTTCATGACCACGAGACGCAGAGTAGCCCCCCCACACTGGATGCAGTACAAGCCATAGAACTTCGGTAGCAGGGTGCGAGGGTTCTGGTTCAAGTTCTGGGACAGTGGACACGGAAAGATAAGTCAGGCAGTGTAATGTACGGTTGAGCTTTAAAGTTACAGGTGGAAATACGCCACTTTACTTCAGAGATTATGAACAATAACATTTATTGTGAAATTAACAGGTTTTCTATTTCCTCATTTGACCCTGTTTAGAAGTCTCCATCCCCCAGTTCTCAATAGCATGTATGACCCCTTTAACATCTATTTTGCAGTAGTTGCTCAGGAAGCTTCTTGGCAAAAAGAAACGTGGCCCAATAATTCACAGGAAGTGGCTGTTCCTGTAAATTATTGGGCCACTTTTGAGAACGCCCCAAAGCGGCTCAATTATGTTATTTAAAATGCAGGTATGTTTTAATGCTCAAAACAATCCCAAAGGTGATAAGGAATAAAGAATGTTTTACTCAAGGTATATAAGAGGTTTTTCTTCTTCCGGGTGGATCATCTAGACTATTTGTCCTCCTTATTTTCATTCTGTAAAGGCCATTGTAAGTGGTCTGTTTTTGGGAGTTTCTTTCACAAGATTTTGTTCGCTGAAAGCCCAGGTTGGGCGTCCCGCTGACGGCCCGTACACATTGCTCTAAAATAAAAGGGACAGAGGACAGCGCGCTGAGGAGCCATGAGCAGGAATGTAAATTTCTCCTGTGTGAGATGAATAAAGTACATCTTATCTTATCTTATGAGGGCTACTGGAAGGCCGTGGTAGTCCTCTGAACTAATTAATACGGTGCACACAGGCCACAATTATTTTTTCTGACTTTAAATAAGTATACACAAGATGCACGCTGTAAAAAAAGCATGCATACCAAAAATCAGTGAAACAACAAGGCCTTGATATATATCAAAAGGCTGCGTTATTGCGAGGGACCACTGTAACTTTATATACTGTATCAAGGGATAACAATAATAACTAACCAATCAGAACCTTTTACTGCTCTAGTCTAATTGGCTTCAATTCACTGCGGTTTATTTCAGAGACACTCAATATGATGTGAAGATATTGCACCTCAACAATTGTTGCTTCGTTCCATCTAATACTGATCTCAGCAGTATTGGATTATCTTCACAATATACAGAGATTTCTCCTTCTACCTAACCTTTATCCGTCTCCAGTCCTTCTTGGTCACATAGTCTGTGAAAGCAGGTTCTTAAATGTTCTCACCATGTAGTATCCTGGCAGCAGCTTCTGGAGGAACTCTGCCTCTTTGTGTTGGACAGTTTTGATGATGAACTCGTCGTCACTGGTCAGATAGAACCAGGAGCTGCTGGCCCCAGGGTTGGACAACTCGATTAGCGGCTCTTTACAAAGAGAGTACTGTGCAAACACAAAGCAACATGAGCCATACCATCACAGCAGTTACCCCTACATCTCAACATGTAAAACATTGCGGTCAAAACAGAAGTGCAAAAAGCTTGAAAGGAAGTGGGTGAGTTGGAGTGTCTAAAGGACAAAGCCGATGTTTTGTTTTGGCTATCACAAAGCCCTATCACAATCCCACAGGAAATATTTGTGAGAGCAAAGATCCTTACAAACCAGTTATGTTAGGAGGAATGGAACAGAATTCCAACCAATTATTTTGAGAAACTCATGGAAATATTAAACTTCTGCGTTTTTCTTCATTAGGTAATACAAATAATTCTAAAAAATGACCTTCTGTAATGTGAAAAAACATGATATTTCATTTTACACAATGTGACATCCGGTTTTCACTTTCTCCACATGTTACATCACAGACAGGCCTCTCACCAGGTAGTCGTCAGGCTTGATCCCGAACAGCTCTCTGAAGTAGCGGAAGGCCAGTGGAGCATATGTCTTTAGTCTGAAGTCTGGGAATTTGTGTGCAGGGGTGAGACTGCTGCCCACACTGAAACACACAGGAAGACATCCACAGAAATGATAACAAATCTGACAGAAGACAATGACCCTTTCCGAAACATGTCTCTTCCACTTTTCCTACCTTCTAGCTGAATGCTCCCTCTCTTGGATTGATTTAATAATAGAATAACAAATTTTAAAGATTTCAATCAATTCATTTAAACTAATTGCTGCCACTGAAAATATGTTTTTTACACGATCAATCTTGCAGCCCTAATAATAAATAGTGGATTAAAGCATCACACTGTCATCAGCTAATTCAGGGGTGGCAGATCCCTGGGAACCAAACTATACTGTGTTCCTCTGCTGAGCCAAAGCATCTGAACCACAACCTCCTCTACTCCTCCTCTCCTCACCTGGGCAGGAAGACGCTCTCCACCACAGAGAAGTCCTGCATGAGAACATCACGGTCAGGTTTGGAGCTCAGGTTCCCAACAGCGTAGCCAATACCCAGCTGGATGGCCCCCTTCAGAGCTGCTGCTGTGGGCTGCAAGTAGAGAGTCAAGTGAGCCAAAGAGACCAATACTCAGGATGTCCTCAAATCCTACAGTATGAAGCTCAAACACACATCATACCCACACAGGTCCTGAGGTCAAGGTAACCATCTAGTTTTAGATTCTGAGTAAATTTTTGCCCATTTCAAACTGTTTATTGGTTACATACTGTAAGAAACACAAATGCCCTTTGTGATTAACAGTGCTGCTAATCCCACTGGGTAAATCAGTCCTATTTGTTATCATTCCACACATTATATTACATATCAAATGGCATTATTATAAATATCCATTCACTTTGATCACTTCCTGGTATATGAAAAAGGCATTGTGCAAAATGGAATGATATTTGTCACCAAAAGGCATGGTGAGGTCACTTAAAGATCTGATCTGGTCTTCCTTCTGTTGTGTCATATATACAGTATATTTCATTGTCAAATTGACCTCTTTGATACTAAATTGAAGTTGCGGGGTAGACAGACGATGACAATTGGTATTACATATTACAAACTTCTCATTAATCAAACAAAATTAGATTTGACTGTCGGGTGAAAAAAAGGTTTTTATTGAAGCAGCACTGAGGAACTTTTGTAACAACAATGAACAATTGTAAACCGCTTTGTGACTCTGGTCTGTGAAAGGCGGTATATAAATAAAGCTTACTTACTTACTTACTTACTTACTTTTAAATTCTGTAGCCAAATAGTAGTACTAGCGATGTCTATGTCTTATTTTGTTGTTTATTGATCATTGTAAGAGCAACACAATATTCATAAAGTGTGTAATATTGATAATTACATACACCAGCATAATGACCATTCATTTTAAACATGTCCCGTGTGGGACTGTCAGCGTGAATAGAAAGGGAGACCCGGGTTTAATGGTCAGTGTGATATGATTTTCAGCTCCATCAAAAACTCTCGGGAGCTCAACAACCAAACAAGGTTGTATTACTATACATCCACTGGGACAGCCAGTCTTGCTGACACCAGGAGGGAGAGGTATTCTGGTCCCATAGTTCTCTGACCCTCCACAGAGAGAACTTTTGAGGAATATCTTGATGCCTCAACGATTCACAGTGTTCATTTTAGTTTAAGTCAATGAAAATGTGTTTCATTGACTTAAACTAAAATGAACACTGGACTGTACCTTCTTGTGGTCAGAGTTGATCCTGGAGGTCCTGTTGCCTCGGCGATCTGTGGAGGTGGACATCCCAGAGGAGAGGCCTAACTCCTGGTTCTTCTGGGTAAGTGTGGAGGTGTATGGTCAGAGTAGAGGGCTTTGAGAACCAGCCCTGATGGTCTGTCTTTGTGGAGGTGTGTGGTCACCCCTGTCTTCTCAGTCTGCCGAGCCCTGTGGAGCAGAGCAGCTTTAAGAACCAGCCCTGATCCTGAGCCTGATCCGGACTCAGGGATCACAAGGCTTTCACAACACAAACAGTACAAATGCACGGCTGAGGAGGGGCTGCGCCTCCAGAATTCAGACTACAGCAGTAATGTTCCAGTGTTTGTTCACATCATGAGGTGCAACCTAACACAGATCACACATAGATTGTGATGCCATAATGAGGACATTCCAGCCAGGGCAATAGCAGTAGTCTTTATTCTGACAATGTAACTGTTTATCAAACCATTATGGATCTCTTATTATAACACTTTTGAAGCAAATATGGTTAATTTTTCTACTCTATTCTAATTACAGTATGCAGGACTCTCCACCCCACAAGATTTTTCACTTGAATGTTTAGGTTTTCTGAAGGCCGAAGCTACAGGTGCCTTGCTGATTGGAGCGTCTACAATTCCTCCATGCTTTAAAATCACATGCAGGCAGCAAATCTTTGGTTGTATCTTTGTAACATTTATACGTCTTCTGTGCCTGCACACAACCCCAGACCTCTGCCATGTTTGTCATTCTCTTCACCATGTCTTGGTGATTAAACCCTACAGTCAAGTATCATAGTGGAAGGAAAGAGTTGGACAATATCCCAAAGTTCAAGAATGCTCAAATTAGTATGTACCAAACCAATAGTGTGTGTGTGCGTGTGTGTATGTGCGTGCATGCGTGCATGCGTGCATGCGTTTGCGTGTGTGTGTGTGTGTGTGTGTGTGTGTGTGTGTGCGTGTGTGTGTGTGTGTATACACGTGTGAGAGGATGTGGTTGGGACGGGAAGTGACAGATCAACCCCACACATCAGAGATGCTTGTATGCAGGCCTGGCTCCCAAAACATGCACCAATGGCCTTTTCTAACCCTTGTGCCTTGTGCTGCTTTATTTTTCAAGCAAAATTATGTTCTTCCTGCCAAAATAATGTATTTGACTGAAATCAGGTTTCCACAAGCTTGTGGAAGTATATCAATAGTTGGCTGGAATTCTCCTAACAGAAGTACACTAGTTCCTCCTTCAGCAAATATAACTATAAGAAAATCCATGTAACTCACTCCTTGCTTTGTTTCTAGAACTCAGATAATTAAATGAGTAAGTTCATTATTTCTGTAATGCAAATTAATTTGTATTTCAGAGTAGTATTCTGGATGGTAGTGTTCATTTTTAAACAGAACATGAGACATGGCCCTCGAAATCATCACAGACTTGAAACTCATCAGAAAAGAGACCGTTGGACTACTGAGCAAGAGACTAGGGTTATGGTTAATAAAAAGGTTCTGATGGAGGAATAGGACATTTGTAATCCATGTCCATGATCTGTCTGTGTCTGCTCTTTTGAAGGTCCCCCAGACTTTTGATAGTCTTTTCTTTAGAAACCTCTCCAGACTGCAGTCCTTCCACCATTTGCACTTTTTTCTTCCACACGTTTTCCTTCCTCTTAAGTGTTTATGAATGTGCTTTGATCAGAACTTCAGGAGCCTATAGCTTCCTTTGCTAATTTTTAGAGGTCAATGATGGTTTTCTGTACTCCTGTCAGGTCAGCAGTCTTCCCCACGACGGTGAAATCTACTGAACCATACAAGAGAACATTTAAAGTCCTTGGCACTCTCTGCAGATGTTTTGGAACAATGCAATGAGTCCATATACTATTTTACTTTCCCATTGAAAAGTTTTATTACAGAAATTAATCACTTTTTTCCACCATATTCTTGATATTGAAAAGTTGAGGACCACCTTGACCTTCACTCGGCCAATCAGCTCTCACACAGCTCAATTAGTGACTCATAGGGTCAAGAATGCAACAGAGAACAATGTTTTCCTGGTACAAAACTCTTTTTGTTGGAACAAACAACATGATATGTGTTATACCATCCAGAAGCCTAACTTTAATGTACATTCTAAAACTGTCCGTGCTTTAGGATGGGTGCAGAGGAGGTGATTTGCCTTTCGTCTCACGTCACAAATGTAAATGAGCTGATTTGTTTGAGTCACTGGGAAGTACGTCTGTTCCTCTTACTCATATTGCAGACTGTACCTCACAGGATAACGCCTTCACTTCTGTCCATTTTATAATTATGAACACCTCAGCTTTGTACAGCGTGAATGCAGACTTATTTCAAACAGATGTTTTCAGAGCAATGTGTGCACGTTTGAGTCATGTGTTTTAAAGGGACATTATGTAATATGCACACTTTATCAGACTCACCTTTTTAGATCAGATTTAGATTTTTATTTATTGTTGAAGTTTACATATACTATTAATGTTTTAGACAATCTTATTTATTTATGTTTTAGTCTTCTTATTATCAGTATTTATTGTGATCCTTTTTAGCCTCACATGTCAAATATTTACTGTTATTGTGGTGTTTTTGTATCCCCAGTGTTTCCTCTGGAGGAGCCTTCTGCACTGGCAGCAGTGGTCAGTTATGGCTGCATATATTATTTAATTTGATAAAGGGACATTATGTAATACGCACCCTTTAGAGGACATTACAATGATGTAATTTTGCACAAATTAGAATTTTATTTAAATCATTTTATTGTTTTAAATATGAGAGGGGCTGTGTGATTTGTTATGCTTAGATTTTCAGATGTTTAACTATTCCTGATCACTCTGGTGTGTTCATTGGCCTTCATGATGCTCTTTAGTGACCTATACACCCTCTGGGGCCCTCAAACCATAGGGACCATAGCTCTGGGGCTCTCACAGAACAGCTGTAACTACACTGAGAGTAGATTACACACAGATGGGCTTTAAATGGCACCTGCAAAATGTCCTCCCCAGACTTGTTAGCTGCACCCCCTCCCTCCCTGGGAGCTGCCTCAGTCCTGCATTACGTGGCCTCGGCCCTCGCTCTGTATCCTGAGTCCTGGATCTATAGCCCGCAACTCCGTGGGAACGGATCCCTCTCTCAATGTAAGCCTCCCCAAGGTTTCTCACTTTTTCGGAATGAGTTTTTCCTTGCGATGCAGAGGCTCTAAGGACAGTGGTGATGATCAAGGACACTCGACATTCAACAACATTTATGTATTTTTATAATCATTTATGGACATTGGTCATCTGCCCCTTTTGGACAAATGGATTGTTTTTTTCATTGCATTTCCTGTGTTTGAACTGTTAGATTCTCTGATCTGTGTTGGCAAATTCAACGGTTTTGTAAAGTCCTCCGAGATAACTGTTATCTTAACTAGCGCAGGAAGAGGAAGAGAAATGTTCATTAAGCCCAGTGTTAGAACAAATGCAAAACTGTGTTTCTATTGTTGGAGTAAATCTACAGCCGACTCTGGAATAAATCGGCTGTAGATTTAAAAGACTGCAAACATTTACAACACTTAAGCACTTTGCTGAAGAAGAATATTATTCCAACATATATTGATTGTGAATGCTGAGCTGAAAAAAAACGTAATTATGGAGTAAATGTTTGATTTGTGTGTAGCAGCTGTTTAAGTTTAATGTTTGCTAAAGGGTAGGCGTCTATAAACTTTAGCTTCTGCCGGTTCCTTTTTCAGACCTTTTTTTCCCCAAGTATCTGAAGGGCACACGTTGGACACGTTCTCCGTCGTCCTCATAATTCTGTTGTCGTTTCTATTTTGAGCTTGGTTCACAGCAGCAGCAACATTTGAATATTTACATAATCCAAAACATTACGTGGCCTGTAAAATATTCAGAGTGATTTCTAAGCCTTTTGGCCACGTTTACAACGACCTTTGTTAAAAGAATAAGAACTGAACGAGCTGTAAATCAATTTACAGTTACGTTTTTCTAACTATTGTGGTGTGTGGTTTGTTCCCCTTTCAAACAGGAACTTTTTGCTTTGTTGTTCTTTTCAATAGAGAGGCATAGTCATATGGAAGTCATATTTTTGGATCACTCTAGTCATTGCATTACAATGAAGGTTACAAAATGTTATATTTTTGCACACTTTGAGTCTCTATTTTACTTAGAACTGATATTCTGTGTAAGGGCGGTCCTCTTGCTTTCACTTTTCAGAAAAAATACACACATGTGAAACTCAGTGATAGAACCAATTTGTTTTATAGTCGGAGTTAGATGGATAGTTAAAGGTTTTGTGACTTGAAAGTTGACGGGTCAGACGACTCCTTTACAAAAGCGTATTTAGGATGGATACAGTATTTTGGATTGCCACCAGACTCAGAATCATAGCATCCACGAAATGATCAAGGGCCAAAGCATGACTCATTTACACAATAGTGAAGAAACACATGAAATATGAATCATCTTTATCTTGTTGGACTAATATTTAAACTGTCAGAAAACTGCTCTTCTTGACTTTGACATCACAGGCAGAGAGGTTCCATTGTAGAAGAAGTCTCCATTACCTCCTGTATATTTACTATCAATACTATGAGTGATGGATGCACATCTTCTGAGCAAAGATTGAGTTTTGATTGTATTTTTTATGTACGATGGTCAAAATGTTTGAGATTACAACCATAATAATAAAGTGAGATTATGAATTATAGAACTGTAGTGGTTCATTCAGCCAAGTGTTCATCTCATGTTTTCTGAAGTGTTATTCATTTGTTTATTGGGGGAGATTTTAATAATGTAACTAATTCCATATGGCTGTTCCCTCACGCTCACAAATATTACTTTATACATTTTCACATTTTCACATTTTATTCATGAGAAAAAGTGTGATACAAAATAAACTTTACAATGAAAGATCCACTGGTCAGAAACTCATTAAAGTGAAAGGGAAAGTAGATGTGTATAATGGAAGTGAAAGATTCTTACCGTCCAGGCCCATGTCGCTGTGAAAGTGTCATTCAGAAAGAAAAGAAGCATCCTCCTCTTCACTTCCTGGTGCAGACTCCACCTCTCTGGTCTGACATTCAAATAAACAAACCATCCATGCCGGCCTCTCAGCAGCCAGAAAAATCATAGATGATGTGTCATTCACTCTGGACATAGCTTTTATGGAACTGTCTTCGGTAAAAATCAACAATGCGCCATCCAACAAAATTGACTTATGGACACAATAATTGATCATCTTAAAGTACTCTTGTAACGTTTTGTATGGTGTATTAGCGTCACTGTACATGTACAATCCGGTTGGTGCACTCTGTAAATGATTGAATTAGCTGGATGTTTGTTCTTATACCACCAGATAGAGGTCTCTACTCAAGATCTATATTTATCCATACATTAGATTTGATATTCCTAGACAATTTTAAAATGTTAGATTAGAAAAAAAAATGTATACTTAAAACTGGGGTACCTAATGTTAAGCTCAATCAGCTTCAATCAGCTTCAAACACAGTGTCTTTGTGCCTTGGAGCTCTAATCAGGACAAATAAATAATGTTTCAAAATTTTTTTTACAGTATTGTACAATAATTCCTGCTATGTAATGTGTTTAGTGTGATTAAAGTGTCTAATGTAATTTAACGCGCCAAGTGAAGGGTAAAGCTGTGTTTATTTTGTAACAAACAAGTATCAAAAAACATTTGTTGAAAGATCATGAAAATAAATTCCATTTGAGAATTAGATTTTTATTCAATTTATTGGTGACATCACAATCGACTTGGCACAAAAAATAAATCACGTGTAATCAACTCAACAACGATTTAAATTTCCAAACAAATAACCCCATAATGGATAAGCTTTCATTCATTATTGTCATTAACAAAGCAAATGATATTCATGTTAATTATAACAAATATATATGTATTTTACCCAGAGTATTCAAACATTTCATCCAAACAAAACAGTTTGTAAAGGAAAAACCTGTGAAAAAAAACAAAAACTAAATTAGAACACAAAATAAATGTAAATTAGCCATTCAGTTTGAATTATACCTCTGCATTTAGAGATAACCGTTTAGGGTGACGAGTATAAAAACTTTGTTACTGTCAGTGCTGTTTCCTATAAACCACAGGTGCCCACACTTTATGAAACCAAGATCTACTTTTACATTGAGTCAGATTTATGAAGGGGGTGTCACAATTCAGAATATCACATTTGCTTCAATTCATGATGAGAATGTTATTCATGATCAAGTAATGACTGTGTTGTGTTCATTCCATAGACTGTTTTGATTTGGCAGGAAAGAGATGTTTTTGTGCTTTTAATTGTAAATGTCACTTATAACACTCACATCTCGCTCACTACTGACTACTTTGTGCAAGTGCTCGTGGAAACTTTGTTTTTCTTTTGAGGTTGTTCTGTCAAAAAGCATTAAGCAGCAGATACGTTTACAGACATGTTCAGCTGCGGCTCGTGTGTAAATGAATTAAAACGACTCGAGCGCACAGGCTCAATGGGGAAGATAATTGCTCTTGGCACATCTGTCTGTTACAGATTCACATGTTTTTGTGGTTGACAAAATTGATAAGTTTACTTTATTTGTACAAGTACATAGTTTGTCAGGGCCTAACGTCCTTCTCTTACTCACCGCATCTGGGCCGTTACGCACACGTGGGCTGAAAGACACACAAACAGCAGTGTTACACACATTGCACACACTAAAGCTGCATTACTGGCGTTACCATGGTGCAGCTGCTGCCGACGATGCACAGCCTGAGCTGACAGTGCAGACTGAGACCAGCAGAGAGCGCTTCAATGAACTCAAACAGGCGAAAGGCAAAGACTGAAGTCAGTGACACGCCGTTCGAGATGATGTCCACGGAGTCTTCAGAGTTCTCACATCTGTGGACACACAACACACACAAGTGAGAGAGCGCACAACTGCAGCCACACAACACACAAGTGAGAGAGCGCACAACTGTAGACACACAACACACACAAGTGAGAGAGCACACAACTGTAGACACACAACACACAAGTGAGAGAGCGCACAACTGTAGACACACAACACACAAGTGAGAGAGCGCACAACTGTAGACACACAACACACAAGTGAGAGAGCGCACAACTGTAGACACACAACACACAAGTGAGAGAGCACACTGTGGACACACAAGTGTGAACTAGAAGTAAAGGAGGTGTACACTAGGGCTTTATAGTCACTAATAATTGTGCACTAAGTAGTGAAGGAGGGGGACACCAGGACACAGCTGACCACAGGACGTGCACTCACCCCTGTGTGATGATGTCATGACGGGGGCTGTCCGTGGGTTCCGTTGAGGGTGTGGCCCAGCTGTCCTGGATGAACAGAGCCAGGTCCGAGCCCCCCACGCCCTCAGCCTCCAGCTGCACCCACAGCTTCTGGTTCAGTAACAGAGTAGTGTCCTGCCCCACGGCCATCGAGAGGTCCTCGTCTGTGAACAGGCTAATGGTGATGTTGTACAGGAACTCTCCAGCGGGGTAGACCAGGGTCACAGAGCTGCAACGCACAAAATACACACAAAATGCACACAGTTACAATTTCACACAGCAATGCCCAAATACACACAGTTACACAAATAGTTATACACTATGGCTGTGCTATTTTTGACAAAACACCTAAATACAATATTTCGGACCAACATTGCAACTGTTTTGATTTTGATATCCTGAATGTCCATAAAGACTTGTTTTGCTAAGTGTAGTGTTAAAAACTTAAAAAGTTTCATTTTTAAAAGTGTACTTATTTCCATATATTTTAGAAAATGTTCTTACATAGTGCACAACCATTTTCATCAATAAAATATTGACTGCCAAAACAATATTATTTATGTATAAATACTCAACACAAGCAGATGTTTCAGTTTTTATATGTTCTCACATTTATTTTGTGATAAAACAGTGAATAAACTTCCTCTAATTTCCATGAGTATGTTCCAGATACACTTTCAGACACTGACCCGTCTGAGATGGTGATGGTTGCCGTAGTGATCGTGGGTTTGTAGGCACAGGACAAGTGAATGGACAGTGGGTTCTGGTACATGACGACATCCGCAGAGCTATTCACAGTGTTTGAGATGATGTTGGAGAAGACGACCTGATCTGTAGTGTCCTGAAAGAAACACAAAACACCAACTTATGAAAGTGTCTGTCTCTGCAGCTCTACAGCGCCCCCGTGTGGAACAGTACTATAATTTCCCCACTGTGGGACGAATAAAGGATCTCTTATCTTAATTCATAGCATTCTTCATTCACTCTGTACTGAGCTCTTTGGGACCTCAGCTCTTTGGGACCTTAGCTCTTTGGGACCTCAGCTCTTTGGGACCTCAGCTCTTTGGGACCTCAGCTCTTTGGGACCTCAGCTCTTTGGGACCTCAGCTCTTTGGGACCTCAGCTCTTTGGGACCTCAGCTCTTTGGGACCTCAGCTCTTTGGGACCTCAGCTCATTGGTGAGAGTCCTATAATATTCACCAAATGCAGCTCATAAATAAAAGGACTCACGTTGATGGTGCCTCCACACAGGTTGGTGGAGCTGAAGTCTAAGCGGAGGCTCTTGCTCTGGTCCTGGGACACTGAGGTGCAGCGGGGGTCCAGAAGGTGCACAGTGGAAGGCTCCACCCCCTTCTCCTCCAGAAAACAGGTTAGGAGGGAGGCGGAGACAGAGGCGGAGTCACAGCTCACATCACCTGTAAAGTGAAATGTTCAATATACTGAATGTATTATACTATATTATATTAGTATTATTTATATTATATTATAAGTGTAGGATGTGAAATAAGGAGAGAGGCGGAGCCAGAACCCATCACAGAAGCCCCTGTCAGACACCACAACAAAAGTCTACATGTTTCAGTAATTAGAATATTTACAACTCTATCACGTATTTTGAGCACCGATGTCAAAGATGTCTCCATACCGTAAGTGCCGGCAGTCCTGTAGGGCGTGGCCACGATATCCTGGCAGAAACATGCCGGATCACCCACGGCGTTAATGGCACAGAACTCATGGTCAGCACAGGCGTGGTCCACACAGGGGGACAGTGCTGCGGGCGAGCACAAGGATGAGTGTTGTGTCCATGTGGTGTATATATATATTTATTACACGGCTCCTCACAGCAGCAGTAGAACGCTCCATTGATCTGAATGTCATTTCAAAATGTTCTACCGGTCATTATTTCTTGATAACCGACCTCTCAAAACAATAATGACCGCTGCCCATGGCAACACAATCTCTGCTTGTAATTCAGGTGTGTAGATTACTCCGCAAGTAGTTCCGGCCACTTCCTCCCTAGCCACGCTCAATAAACGCAAATACCAATCAATCAACACATTTAAATGTTAATCGGAGAATACATTAAACATTTACATTCGTAACACACGTGCACAGAGGTTTTCAGAATTATCTGTCAACGTTTTAATGAAAAAATACTGTTTTAACCTCTTCAGCCCGATTGCGCCCCATTCGGGGTCCGCCCCCCCTTGCTGCAGCTTGTCCGGACCGTAGCTGACAGATACAACAACTGACAATCACATGTTTCACATCCTCGTGTTCGGACAACTCTCAGCTACAACATTATCCACTTCAATTTCAGTTCAACAGACCCAGGTTCAAACAACAAACCACAATCTGACAAATCGTCATAAAGCACATGTCGAAACAAATGTTTGCTTTGGCGTCACAAGCGCCCTCAAAACAATAAGTAGCCCTGCTGTCAGCACACCATTAGAAAGCCCTCCCCGAGCTGAACACAACGCTATAAGGCTGGTAACGCTAGCTCTAATACTCGCTGACCAAGCCGCAGACGAATGCCAGAAAACAAAGCCGTAAAACATCAGCGTTGAAGTAAAAGTTGACTTACTTTTGCTGTTTTTTCATCACAAGTCATTTCCATAGGAATAAAAGTCCGTTTTTTTCTTGTATTCAACCTCATAGCGAGGCTTTCTAGCGACCTGGCAGATACCAGTTACTTCCTCCTTCTGTAAGAGGCCCTTTGTGATAGGCTGCACCCGTGCGTCATGTCACGTACCTCTGTGTATCTCTTCCTGTGATTGGCCACAGGTGCTGTCCATCAATACGTTTTCAATGGTTTTTGATAGCCGAAGGTGTGTTCTTTCCAAAATGGTATAACATGCCCTGATTGGCCAAAGTACCGCGGAGGCGTGGACATGCGTATAGTTGGGGCAGAAGGAGGCTGTGCGCAAACCCTTTACGCACGGCAGGTACTCGGAATTTTGACGAAATTAAAAATGGCAAAACAGCGTTATACACGCGAGGAGGTTGTAGAGCTTCTTGCTAGGGAACCGGGTGCCAAAGTTTATCTCGATGACTCTACAGACATGTTTGTGCCATTTGGCACAATTTTGGCACAGTTGGATTCCGCCTGGACTTTTTTTCCAATTCCATGTACAACTCTGCAGTGGTTTGTTTATTTGGCACAATTTTTGCTGGACTGGTCCAAAATATCGGGAACTGTCAATTTTAGTTCTTATTTGCTACACCACAGACAGGGAAAAAGCTTTTTTGAGGGAAAATATGTGTTTTTTTTTTAGGCGGAAGTTAGAATTGTCTGTTTCAACCTAATTTTATTGGCAACCAATACAATTTATCATCTTTTTTCACTTCCACAGCAATCCCCAAGGTCCACCAGGTAATTTGGTACCAAGTTTGGCCACATATCTGGCTAAATACTATATGAAACCTTAGTAAATGTAGATTATAGCTTTTTCGGGAAAAAAGGCCTCTGGGCTTAAGAGGTTGATGTGACAAAAATCGATAGTGGTAAACCCGGAAGTTACAATTAACATGAAATCACATTTTAAGACACATTTGCAGAGGATCAAATTATGGATTAAGGTTGAGTTTTTATATGGGTCACTCACCACTGATGTTCAGAATTCTTTGTTCCGTTTTCATTTAGAGTTCTAGTTTGGAAGTAGTTTTAGGCTAACTGTTATTCGCCTGCCGTGGGAAAACCTTTTATTTTCTGTCATTAAATAAACCTTTCAGCATTCATAAAAGTGGACTGAAGTTTATTTTGCGTCTGTTTGGTTGGTACAAAGCCGTATAATAAGAGGGATAATGTATAGTACACAGGTCATTATCGGAAAATAAGTACCAATAGGACGAAGCGGACGCGCGTCGGGGTCTGTGTACTGGGTGCAGCTCTGACTGCCACCCCCCCGACCCAGAAATAGATTAAGGGGAAGAAAATGGATGGATGGATTGATATACAGTATAAAATAATGATAATGTCATGTTGTTTTGGACTTGTCTTGGTGATAGAATAAATATTCCCACCACAGTTTGCGGCGCTCCTCCACTCGTCGCCAAAGCCGCACGTCGTGGCAAAGGCGTCTTTCACGGCGCAGAGCAGACCGTCCTCCTCCGGGTACAAACACAGCAGGTCTCTGGAGCAGCTGTCCACAAAAGGAGCTATGGAGAAGTGGCATCCGAAGGCATCCTTCAGAGACGTGAGCTCTGCACTGCACCTGTGGCACAACACACACACCCAGGCCCAACACATCAGCTGCACACTGTGTACTCTGGTAATACATGTTTTACTATGTGAAATACTTTTTAAAGCTGGGGTAAAAAACACTGAGACCACGAGACTGGAACGATACACTTACAATCCATGTCACAGGTCCTTGCCTCTTTAACAGTTTGGTTCTACCACTAGTTTTCACATGCATGTATTTTGTCACATCAGACTTTTAAGAGAGTAAAGTGAGACACAAAATGATGTTTTCTCAGCCCAAAGCATCATTTTGTGACACATAGGGCCCTTTCTTACAGTATATGCAAAATATAACATGATTTATGATTTGATGAGGACAGCATGTTGGGCTGGTTTGTTCACAGCATTATGCTTAAAGAGAAACAAAATGAAGGTATCCCTGCTTTAAGTGGAAAATGTAGGGCTAAAACTGATGAATTGAGATGCCAAGAATGAGCAGCACTCCCATCTAGTAGCGCAATACATCTTAGTATAGTATTTAAAAAAGATAAGATAAACTTTATTGATCTCACAATGGAGAAATTTACGAATTCAAATTGAAGATAACATGGTCTAATTCAGGGATTCCCAATCCAAGGTTTCAGGTCAGGACTCTTAAAATAAGTATCAAACAGACTTGAGACCACTGTGGAATAATACCATACATTAAATATACAATGCATCCCAAAATCAAAACAAAATCTTTGCCAACAGCAGATTAGAAAATCAATCAATGCTTTGAACATCAAGAAACATAATGAACTTATATTTGAACCATGAAAATATTATGATTTTGGGCGATACACTTATTTCAATAATGATAACATGAAATGCTTCGTCTGAGGGTCTGTCATAGTGTTACGAGTTTGAAACCAGAGCATTCAGACAGAAGGGACGGGGGGAGTTCCTGATGTCTTGGAGCATAGATAAAGGTGGTATCAGTGAGTTCTCAGTGTGGGGCAGTTTTACCTCTCTGTCACCGCGTCACAGTCGATGTCGTCTTTGTCTGAGTCTGGGACGACGACGTCACAGCTGCAACAAAACACAGAGGAATGGTACTGAAAGAAGCGCACTATAGCTCTACAGCGCCCCCTGTGTCTCATCGTTATATAGTCAGAACACTGGAGAACTCAATACTGATCTAAAACAATGTTATGATAGAGCACTTCTGTATTCAGTCCTGCTGTATCGCTCTGAACTCTGCCCCTTTGTGCAGTGTCACACAACAAAGGCCCAACAGGCTCCACTCAGACAGCAAATCAAGTTAGCAATCAGCATTGTTTTTTCCTTTGTGAAAAGATTACTGTGCATCTGCCAAATAGTCGAACAGAGTAACTGTCGAATGGTTGAACACAGTAAGTAGAAGCAGTGGCTGTGGTTCGAGAAAAGAATATAAAAAACTTTGAACAAAATTTCTTTGTTGATAAGTCAAGAAGAAAACAAGGATGTGTTTAAAAAGGCAGGAAAGAGATTCAGCACAGAGCGTTGTGTGAGGGGGCAGGGGTGGTGTTGGTCTCACTTGTCTTCAGACAGATTCCAGTCAATATTGCTCCCGGGTGGAGCAAAGCCTTGGCAGAGGCCGCTCACTAGACTCGAATAGCGTGGTGCTGGATCCAAAACAAGAAACAGGTGTCAACAGGTGTTCAAAAACATCAACGTTGACGGATTAGTGTTAATTCAGGCTTTGAATAAATAAAGACACAAAAATATATTAAAGCTGGGATGTGTAATTTTTGTTTCATATAAAAACCATAAAGTCTTGCAAAAGTAAAAAGCTGAAAACAAATCAGACCACAATGTGCTGTCTTTATCTTATGAAAAAAAAGCCCTGGAAGTCATTATTTTCCTTTTCGGATAAAAGTATTTAGGATTGGTCCTATTGACACTTTTCTGTCTGAAAAATGTGATCTAAAGATGTGACAGGCCAAAAATACTTTCATGTGAAACCTGTTGATAGAACCGCACTGCTTTAGAGCAAGAACTTTAGCTTATTACTATCTTTGAAAGTAAAGTCTCCTATAGCGTTAATGTTACGTACTATGGTTTTAACATTCTCCCTGAAACCTGATTCAAGGATAATGTTAAAGAATGTGATATAGTGTCTAAATAAGTAGAGCAGTATGGATAAACCCGTGTCATGGACTTTACGGCCCTGGGCCTGGATATTGCTTCCTGTTTGGATTTTGTGTGTTTTTTGTGTCTGTGGCAACCCCTCCTCTTTCGATATCCCTGGCCTGTGATTGGAGAACCAATGGCCCTCCCACCTCCCAGAAGTCCATGACTCAGGTGCTGATTGGAGGAGCAGCGGTGCACCTGGCCAATCCAGCTTCCCCTCCTGGAGTCACTCTCCCACTTAAGGCCACACTCCACATCTGTTCGGGGCTGCCAGCCTGGGTGTGGCTGGTATGCCATTTGTCCTCACAAAAATGTTTGTCATTGTCACAAGGGGTGACAATGACTTAATAGACGGTTCTTATGGTCTGTATAGATTATATTTGATTGGTCTCATTTTTAGTTGTCACTTTGAGGTTTTGTTTTTGTGACAATTTGCATTTGTTGAGACAGCAGTCAATTTAGTGTTTAGTTTCTTTGTGTATAAATGTTAAGGTAAAGTCTTGGTTTTATTTTGGTAACAGTGAGTTACCCCCTTATGTCCTGTGTTGTGTCCTTTTGATTTATGTCAACTTATCATGTACTTGACTATTAATAAATACTTGCTTTGCCATTTAACATCTTGGATTTTTGTCACCTTCCTCACCCTCGCTGAGCTGGACCATTACAATGGAGAAAGTAATGGATGTTGAGTTTTGAAATACCCCCATCTAGTGGTGGAAGTGAGACATTACATCATGCAGATCCCACTGTACAAGAACATCATTTGTCTTTAATAGACTCTGTCCACATTCATCAGAATGTAACTAGATTTGAGTGATTCGACAGAAGGGCAGTGTTTGTGCCAGAAGTTCCTGAAACTAGTGCGGATGGAACTACACACATTGTTCATTTTGAATCAACATGTGATCCTCTGATTCCTAAAAGATGGGAGCAGACAGCACTAATTGGACACAGAGCGTTCTGTGAGGCGACACTGACCCTTCATGTTGATAGACAGCAGAGTCCCGTCGTACAGTACAGTCAAGGAGCGTAGGGTTGAATCAGTGAAAGTAGCGCTCACTCCGCGGGGGCTTTTGGAGAGCTCCACACCGTACAGAGTCACCACAGACGAGCTCAAGTCCACCTCCACCTCCTCACCGTTTTCCTGTTTCTGTGGTCAGAGAGAAGCTTTAAACACAGAGAACAAGTCCAACTCCTCAGTCCACACCTTTCAGGCCTCATGGTCTGACAGCAACAGTTTAACAACGAAAGAACCAGTCATTTCTTTTCTGCTTTACTAATCATAATAATGTCTAACAATAATGTTGACTTTTTTAAACACTTCATTTGCAGTCTGGTTTAGTATGTTGTAGTGTTTTTAGCATGTTGTAGTGTGTTTTTTAGTATGTGGTATGTGTGTTTTTAGCATCTGGTAATGCGATGTGTGTTTTTAGCATCCAATAATGTGATGTAGTGTGTTTTTAGCATCCAATAATGTGATGTAGTGTGTTTTTAGCATCCAATAATGTGATGTCGTGTGTTTTCAACAAATAGGGGCCTCACCGTCAGCACCACTCCTCCGTGTTTTAGCGTCACGTATCCTGTCGTTTTCAGATTGACGCTCTGTAGAAATGGCACCTCAGTGTTTCGGCGTGATGCGTAAGAACCCGTCACCGTGAAATTGGGCGACAGCAGCAGTGTGTTATTACAGAAGTTTGAGATCTGGTTGCTCATTTGGGTAAAGTCCACCATGCTGTTCCCAAATGCCACACACGTGGTCTCCATTCCACACCTGAGACACGGACATGATACTGATGAGTACGACTGAAATACGAGTTAAATACAAAATACAGCAACTTGAAAATACAACAATAGGCCTCCCAACAAAATCACATTCAAGACCTGCACAAGTATTGTAGCGTGCTGGATTTAAGTAACCAATATTCAGCACTATCTGTTATTTTTTTGTCCTTTTAAGAAGATCTTCGGAAATATTCTTTTTTTCAGGTTTGAGAATGTCATTTTTTAATCAGAAAACAAATGGTTGTGTGGTGATGTCTGTGTAGATATAGTCGACATGGAAGTCATAGTGGTGATGTCATAGATAACTATAGTGGTGTGGTGATGTCATAGTAGGCATAATAGACATAGATGTCATACGCACAAGTTGTCGCCAAAACAGCTTTCACTGTCCAAGCAGGTAGGGGCCGGAGCGCTCCACAGCCCCGTGGAGAGGCAGGTTTGCTCCAAACAGAGGTCAGTGACCTTGGCGTTCATCCAGTAACTCTGGTCTGAAATCAACAACACACATTTATTTACTACGACTGTGGTCACACCCCTTCATTCACTGGTGTCCAGTTTGAACAGCTCTTCTATCTTGTGTTGTGTTGTGTCTCATGAGTGTAGAAGGGTTCCTACCTTGGTGCTGGCAGCCCGTTAGATCCACTGCTAAAATGCCTCCACCCAAATAAAGAGTTGCAGATTGGTCAGAGTTCACAATAAAGTCCACATCTGTGTTCTGGAGGTAAAGATCAGACAGTATAAAGTAATATCAATGGGCTTAAAATGGATTGGAATAGATTAATGTGCATCAATTACTTAATAATAATAATATTATTAATATTTATTTAAAGAATTGTGTTACATACGTCAAGATTGCTTGAAAATGCAGCTGCCTTGCTCCCATAGTTTAACAGCTGTATATCCTGTTGGGGTAAAACAGTTTTATTAAAAGGAAAGAACAAACTCAAGACATACCAAACTTCTGTCTGTGCAGCTCTGCTTCGCTGTTAACACAGTCACATCAAAAGCCCTGCAGGCTTCGCTCACACCACGTACACGCCTGAAGAGACCAGAGTGCATTTTGTAGATTTTACAGGTGTAAGACTTACGCTGACTCTTGTCGCCATGTCTAAAGTCATTTTCAGGCGAATGCCGCAGGTCGAGGATGTGGAGATGTGGGAATAACTTTCTTTGATCACAGTTTCGGCAGCTGTCAAGTCTGAAATGACTTCCATAGTGACCGTCTCCGCCTCCAACGGCTGTTTGATATCAATGAAGTTCACCAGAGAGCTGCCATTCATCCTCCCAAAATGGATGCTCAACTGTTTGTTGTCGCGGAAGAAGAGCTGTGGATGAAACACACCACCAGTTTGTACTGAAGCAGAGGAAACACATGACATTATTTGGCTGATCTTTCTTTCAGTTGATTGATTAGTTCTTTACATCCCAAAAGGTCAATGAATATGGAATTTTTACACATTTGACCAAAACACAGCTCAGTATTGTGTTCTTTTCTGACTGTGTTGAGTGAGGGTTGGATGAGCGTTGGTTGATGTATGAATGTAGGTTTTTTCTTTTTTGTACATAATATCATTAGCAAATCAGTTTTCTTTCAATGTATTCAATTTTTTTATTCAGAAAACGCCATTGTCATACAAGTCATACACATTGTTTTTGTAAAGTTCATTGGTGTTTTGTAAAAGGGCAAAACACCAATGAACTTTACATGTTCATTGGTGTTTTGGAAGCTGCATTAGCTTATAGGCGGGGCCCCAAAAACAATCCATGTAGAGCAAATCTATCAATGTTAAAATTTGTTGCAATTAACCGGTTCACTTGTTGCAGCCCTACACACGACCCTGTTGTACTGAAGCTGGTATCCATATTATTGAACACACGGTATTTACGGTATTCACATCATGAAGACAATTCCCACCCAGAGGCTAATAATTAGTATAATTCTACAACTGTCTAATATATTATTTGTCTGCGAATCCAGGGACACCCCTCGAGCTTCATACTTCTCCATCATGGTGCCCAGAACTGTGGGTGGTCCCAGTGCAAATTACAAATACAATATGATTCAGAAACTATATAAATGCTGAATGGGATGAAATAGAATAAACAATGTCTATTTTCCTTTGTTTTGAAAATAGTGAAAATAACAGAGTAAAATGCTTCTGCCTCCTGCCTGTCATGAAAGCAGATTAACTAGAGGTTAGGGAAAAGTTAGAAAATGATTCTGAAAAAGTTGAAATATTTACAAACACATTAAAAGGACTTGAATTCAGGTTATTATTATGTATTATTGCTTATATGATATATTTTGTAAAATTCCCTTGGTTCAAAAACAACTACGCAACAAGACCTAAGCTAGTCTCAAACTCTGATCATAAGAACCTGAACCCAAGTGGTTTGAAGGAGCGGATAGAGGTGTTCTGTTTCATATTGAGGTAAAGTTCTGACCTGGAGCTCGGTGTAAATTGTTCCGTAGTAGGCGATGGGACACATGCTGATGTCCACAACATTTGGCCCATTAAAGACTTGTGCCCCTGGAAAACACCAATATTCGTATCACTGTTATACAGACTGTGCTGATACAGACTGTTTTATACAGACTGTTCTGGTCCCTTTGGTTAAATCATGACTATACAGACTGTGGTTCCTATGGTTACATGCATTACAGACTTTGTGTTTACCTGAGAACAGGAGCTGAGCAGAGAGACTGAGCAGCAGCAACAGCATCATGTCTGAGCCTGGAACACAGCACTGCAGTTATTATGCTTCATATAGACTGTTGTTTGTTATTATGCTTCATATAGACTGTGTTGTTTGTTATTATGCTTCATATAGACTGTTGTTTGTTATTATGCTTCATATAGACTGTTGTTTGTTATTATGCTTCATATAGACTGTGTTGTTTGTTATTATTCTTCATATAGACTGTTGTTTGTTATTGTGCTTCATATAGACTGTGTTGTTTGTTATTGTGCTTCATATAGACTGTGTTGTTTGTTATTTTGCTTCATATAGACTGTTGTTTGTTATTATGCTTCATATAGACTGTTGTTTGTTATTATGCTTCATATAGACTGTTGTTTGTTATTATGCTTCATATAGACTGTTGTTTGTTATTATGCTTCATATAGACTGTGTTGTTTGTTATTATGCTTCATATAGACTGTTGTTTGTTATTATGCTTCATATAGACTGTGTTGTTTGTTATTATGCTTCATATAGACTGTTGTTTGTTATTATGCTTCATACAGACTGTTGTTTGTTATTATGCTTCATATAGACTGTGTTGTTTGTTATTATGCTTCATACAGACTGTTGTTTGTTATTATGCTTCATATAGACTGTGTTGTTTGTTATTATGCTTCATATGACTGCTGTTGTTGTGTCCTTGGGCAAGACACTTAACCCCACTTTGCCTGAAACCCCCACTGATAGATCTCAGCTCCTGTGGACTCACCACCTGCAGGAAGATCAGTGAGGGGCTGGTGCTGAGTGTACTGGGTGCAGCTCTGACTGCCACCCCCCTGACCCAGAAATGGATTAAGGGGAAGAAAATGGATGGATGGATAGACTGTGTTGTTTGTTATTATGCTTCATATAGGCTGTGTTGTTTGTTATTATGCTTCATATAGACTGTGTTGTTTGTTATTATGCTTCATATAGTCTGTGTTGTTTGTTATTATTCTTCATATGGACTGTTGTTTGTTGTTATGCTTCATATAGACTGTGTTGTTTGTTATTATGCTTCATATAGACTGTGTTGTTTGTTATTATGCTTCATATAGACTGTTGTTTGTTATTATGCTTCATATAGACTGTGTTGTTTGTTATTATGCTTCATATAGACTGTTGTTTGTTATTATGCTTCATATAGACTGTTGTTTGTTATTATGCTTCATATAGACTGTTGTTTGTTATTATGCTTCATATAGACTGTTGTTTGTTATTATGCTTCATATAGACTGTTGTTTGTTATTATGCTTCATATAGACTGTGTTGTATGTTTTTATGCTTCATATAGACTGTGTTGTTTGTTATTATTCTTCATATGGACTGTTGTTTGTTGTTATGCTTCATATAGACTGTGTTGTTTGTTATTATTCTTCATATGGACTGTTGTTTGTTGTTATGCTTCATATAGACTGTGTTGTTTGTTATTATGCTTCATATAGGCTGTGTTGTTTGTTATTATGCTTCATATAGACTGTGTTGTATGTTTTTATGCTTCATATAGACTGTGTTGTTTGTTATTATTCTTCATATGGACTGTTGTTTGTTGTTATGCTTCATATAGACTGTGTTGTTTGTTATTATTCTTCATATGGACTGTTGTTTGTTGTTATGCTTCATATAGACTGTGTTGTTTGTTATTATGCTTCATATAGGCTGTGTTGTTTGTTATTATGCTTCATATAGACTGTGTTGTATGTTTTTATGCTTCATATAGACTGTGTTGTTTGTTATTATGCTTCATATAGACTGTGTTGTTTGTTATTATGCTTCATATAGACTGTTGTTTGTTATTATGCTTCATATAGACTGTGTTGTTTGTTATTATGCTTCATATAGACTGTGTTATTATGTTATTATTCTTTATACAAACTGTATGTGTCTTGTTTTTCCTAATTCTTCCTCACTGAAAGTTTCTCACTCATTACTATTTGCTCAAAGCCTCAATAACAGAGCAAGACTTTTTTCAGTACTTAAACTTATCATATTCACAACTTTAAACCCAAACTCATCTACATCAATTCTGTCGGGCGGAATGGGCCAGAATTCCAGCCAATTATTGTGAGAGACTTGCGGAACGAAATCCAAGACATTTCACCCAACTCGAACAGTCTAAAAAGCAAGAGACAGTCCTACCTGAGAGGTGTGGAGCGCAGGAGAGAGCAGGTGCTTCTGGAGAGGAGTTTCTTTCGGAAGCAGAGGACGACTCTGTGGTCTGAATTGTGCGGATGATCTGCTCGTATTTATATTCACAGCAGTGGGAGGAGTCACTCTCTGATTCTCATAATGACACAATGACCACAGATAATTACAGGCCTAATTACTACAGTGTTTGTGCTAAGTGTGCAACAATCCTAGGTACAGTCTGTACCTATCAATAATGAATGACATGAATGACACATGCTCTAGATCTAATGCAATTATTAGAAACAAACTATACTGAAGCCACAAGGGAGATTCACACTGAGAGCTGTCAGTGTCTCTTTTTTGCGTTTTTGTTCAAACTTCAAACTGATGGAGAAGGAAGTAACACAGAAAAAACCCTCACAATCCCGTTATTAAATTAAATTACATTTATTTTTGGATAATCCTAAATGTCCATGGTTACATGTTTATATTGATATTTGTAAAGATAAGTATTGTGCAGGTTTTAAATAGATACAAAATAAAATAATATTAATGTCCATTTATGTCCTGAAAATCTCCTTGATCATCACCATTTTTCTTAGACCCTTCTGCATCGGCAAGGAACAACTCAAAAACCCTGTGAGAAAAAAGCTCAGGCAGGCCACAATGATAGAGGGATCCACTCCCACAGACAGACCAGACCAGATCTAGGACTCACGCAGACAATGGGCATTGGTTGTATAGCAATGAAAAATCAGACTTTTGTGTTGGGTGCATAGACTGTATATATTAATGGACGTAGTCACGCCTTTCTCCGCCGTTCTAACTAATGGGCCAAAAATTGGGCTCTCATGGAGTGATTGAAAATGGCCGCGTGGGCTGGACAATGTGAAAAAACGCATCTGCGCATGCGTCAGCCGGCACGAGCCCCATTCATTTAAACGAGTGACTTCAAAAATTAGACTGGTCCAAAAAAATTCCCTCCCCTCAGCATTGACACACATGTGGAATGGAGCTTTGGGTCAAGAGTCAACTTTTGGACCATCCTCTAAAGGTGTTTTCGAGAGGTAAGAAGATGCTATATGTTAGCATTGGCTAATTCTTCTTCCTGGTCCACCCCATAGACTGTATATATTAACGGACAGAGTCACGCCTATCTCTGCCGTTCATAGGAGTTGGCCATGAAAAGTGCTTTCATGGAGCAATCCAAGATGGCCGCGAGTGGTCCCGCCCACAAGAAAATTGTGAAAAAAACGCATCTGCGCATGCGTCAGCCGGCGAGAGCTCCATTCATTTGAACGAGAGACTTCAAAAATTCACAGCGAGTAAACTAGACTGGTCCAAAAAAATTCCCTCCCCTCAGCATTGACACACATGTGGAACGGAGCTTTGGGCCAAGAGTCAACTTTTGGACCATCCTGTAAAGACGTTTTCGAGAGGTCTGCCAACGCTATATGTTAGCAATGGCTAATTCTTCTCCTGGGTCTACCCCCATCGGCCCGGGGTGGTATTGCAAGCATGTCTGCGCACGTCATTTTGGCCACTTTTGAGCTGGGACCCGCCCCCACTGGTTGGGTGCTTCTCCCGCACTCGCGGACAGCACATAGTCGTCACAGACAGAGATTTCCGACTTTTTCTAGTTAGAGAATGGGGCCTGTGCACGCAGATTTACCGCGGACCATATGAGATCCTTTATTCGTTCCACAGTAGAGTCCTTTCCGATAAAGGAATAGCACTGCACAATTACGCACGCATGCAGCTTAGAGGGAACACAGCAGAAGACTATTTTTCTTAAAGTAGCAAGATTTTCATGTCATGTCATCCTTTAATTGCCTTATTATATAAAAAAGACATTCATAAACCATGCTCTCTCCGAATACTTCTTTGCTTGTTGTTGTTTTCATTTTGAGGTCCTGCCCTCCACCGTTTTACCAATCAGAAAGTCTGTGATCCAAGTTGCCAGAACTCACCGTGTCGAACTAATCTCACTGGTAGTAATTAAGTAACATGTCAGACCTTGGTACTAAAAAGGTTTAAACATTTTTTATAATTATTAATGACAAAACAAAGAATAAAACGAGGATTTCCACTGAGTATGCCTTTGTGAAAAAGATTGGTTTTAGCTACATGGCTATTCAGGTATGAAGGTCCCAGCTGGATTTATCTGCATATCTGGCGCCCTGAGTGAGGGTAAGTACACTTGCACTTTTGGTCATATATTGCACCTTTAAGACTGAAATAAGAAACAACTGGAAGCTGAAATAAAAGCCAGCATTTCTGCTGAATGTCTGTCATTTTTGACATCAGGTTCCTTGGCATGGTTGGGGAGCTGATTCCACAGTAGATGAGCTTGGTATCTAAATTCTTTGTCTCCAACTTTGCTTTTTAACACTTTGAATCTGCCCTTGATATGGCAAGTAGGTCACATTGTCTTCATAAGTCCCCATCAAAGGAAGACGGCTCAATCAAACCACTGTTTAAATTGGCTTCATCCACAGTTGGTTTGTCCACTCTTTCTAGCTACAGCCAATTATAACTTTATAATAAACCTCCTTATCTTTATTGTGCTCAAAAAGTTACCTTTTGAGTCAAGTGACATTAAACACCATCTCACTGGGTCCACATTCCTCACTGCGACTGGAGCCAAACCACGAGAGGTGTAAACTTCTTCATTGTCCTTCCCGGGAGGTAATAAATTGTACAGTCCTGTACAGGAGGACTGTACAAATTATCCATCAACATAATTATTATAGTTTTTACAATGTGACACAGAGCTATGAACTGTTGGCAACAATCCATACAGCTCATGTAAGACAGATTCAGGGTAATAAAACAATAATAATAATAATAAATCTTTGTTTGTACAACACTTT